TGAAAACACAAACAGCGCCCTCTGGTGTCTGGACCTGACACTCACATTTGTTCAGGTCTAATTCACTTCAGTGTATTTGTGTGTGTGTTTGTGTGTCTGTGTATTTGTGTGTTGCCCTAAATCACAGCAGTAGTTTTCTCTCGAGGACTTTACAAACTGTTGCTTCTCCGTCACAGATCAGAGAATCAGTTCTTATCATGTTTAATAATTTGTTTTGTGTTTGTTCAGATCAAGATCCCAGTGAAAGGATCAAAGAGCGGAGGATACCTGTACACATGGTCCCAGAGAGACTCTGACAACAGGTACACACTGTACACATGGTCTCAGAGAGACTCTGACAACAGGTACATGGTCCCAGAGAGACTCTCTGTACACATGGTCCCAGAGAGACTCTCTGTACACATGGTCCCAGAGAGACTCTCTGTACACATGGTCCCAGAGAGACTCTGACAACAGGTACACACTGTACACATGGTCCCAGAGAGACTCTGACAACAGGTACACACTGTACACATGGTCCCAGAGAGACTCTGACAACAGGTACACACTGTACACATGGTCCCAGAGAGACTCTCTGTACACATGGTCCCAGAGAGACTCTGACAACAGGTACACATGGTCCCAGAGAGACTCTCTTCACGTGTGTGTCTGTCCTCACAGAGGCACATAGTGACCCCCAGGGGCCTCCTCATATTTGTGTCTAACCTCACAGAGGCACATAGGGACCCCCAGGGGCCTCCTCACATGTGTGTGTCTGTCCTCAGGTGGAGACTGAAGCAGGCCGTCCTCAAGCTGCGGGAGGGACACACCATCGACCTGCTGGACCCTGAGAGAGGCTCCTGAGAGAGGCCCCCCGAGAGAGAGGCCCCCGAGAGAGAGGCCCCCGAGAGAGAGGCCCCCGAGAGAGGCCCCCGAGAGAGAGGCTCCCGAGAGAGGCCCCCAAGACAGAGGCTCCAGAGAGAGGCTCCCGAGAGAGGCTCCCAAGAGAGGCTCCCAAGAGAGGCTCCCAAGAGAGGCCCCCGAGAAAGAGGCTCCCGAGAGAGGCTCCCGAGAGAGGCCCCCGAGAGAGAGGCTCCCGAGAGAGGCCCCTGACTTCTGCAGTGTTATTGTGGTTTAATGATGAATTAAACTTGAACACTTCCTGTGTGTTTTATCTTTAACATCTAAAACAAACCTGCGCCACATCAGGGTCCTCTGTACATGTGTCTGATGCACTGACACATGTACAGACACATGTACAGACACATGTACAGACACATGTACAGACACATGTACTGACACATGTACAGACACATGTACAGACACATGTACTGACACATGCACTGACACATGCACTGACACATGTACAGACACATGCACTGACACATGCACTGACACATGTACAGACACATGTACAGACACATGTACAGACACATGTACTGACACATGTACAGACACATGCACTGACACATGCACTGACACATGTACTGACACATGTACAGACACATGTACAGACACATGTACAGACACATGCACAGACACATGCACTGACACATGCACAGACACATGCACAGACACATGCACAGACACATGCACTGACACATGCACTGACACATGCACAGACACATGCACAGACACATGTACTGACACATGCACTGACACATGTACAGACACATGCACAGACACATGTACAGACACATGCACTGACACATGCACTGACACATGTACAGACACATGCACTGACACATGTACTGACACATGCACTGACACATGTACAGACACATGCACTGACACATGCACTGACACATGCACTGACACATGTACAGACACATGCACTGACACATGTACAGACACATGCACTGACACATGTACTGACACATGCACTGACACATGTACAGACACATGCACTGACACATGTACTGACACATGTACTGACACATGCACTGACACATGTACAGACACATGCACTGACACATGTACTGACACATGTACAGACACATGCACTGACACATGCACTGACACATGTACAGACACGTACTGACACGTGCACTGACACATGTACAGACACGTACTGACACATGCACAGACACATGCACTGACACATGTACTGACACATGCACTGACACATGTACAGACACGTACTGACACATGCACAGACACATGCACTGACACATGCACTGACACATGTACTGACACATGTACAGACACATGCACTGACACATGTACAGACATGTACTGACACCTACTGACACATGTACAGACACGTACTGACACATGTACTGACACATGCACTGACACATGTACAGACACATGCACTGACACGTACTGACACATGTACAGACACGTACTGACACATGTACAGACACATGCACTGACACATGTACTGACACATGTGCACTGACACATGTACAGACACATGCACTGACACATGTACTGACACAAGCACTGACACATGTACAGACACATGCACAGACACATGTACAGACACATGCACTGACACATGTACAGACACATGCACAGACACAAGCACTGACACATGTACAGACACATGCACTGACACATGTACAGACACATGCACAGACACATGCACTGACACATGTACAGACACATGCACTGACACATGTACAGACACATGCACTGACACATGTACAGACACGTACTGACACATGTACAGACACATGCACTGACACATGTACAGACACATGCACTGACACATGAACAGACACATGCACTGACACATGTACAGACACATGCACTGACACATGTACAGACACATGCACTGACACATGTACAGACACGTACTGACACATGTACAGGCACATGCACAGACACATGCACTGACACGTACTGACACATGTACAGACACGTACTGACACATGTACAGACACATGTACTGACACATGCACTGACACATGCACTGACACATGTACAGACACATGCACTGACACATGCACTGACACATGTACAGACACATGTACAGACACATGTACAGACACATGTACTGACACATGTACAGACACATGCACTGACACATGCACTGACACATGTACTGACACATGTACAGACACATGTACAGACACATGTACAGACACATGCACAGACACATGCACAGACACATGCACTGACACATGTACAGACACATGCACAGACACATGCACAGACACATGCACAGACACATGCACTGACACATGCACAGACACATGCACAGACACATGTACTGACACATGCACTGACACATGTACAGACACATGCACAGACACATGTACAGACACATGCACTGACACATGCACTGACACATGTACAGACACATGCACTGACACATGTACTGACACATGCACTGACACATGTACAGACACATGCACTGACACATGCACTGACACATGCACTGACACATGTACAGACACATGCACTGACACATGTACAGACACATGCACTGACACATGTACTGACACATGCACTGACACATGTACAGACACATGCACTGACACATGTACTGACACATGTACTGACACATGCACTGACACATGTACAGACACATGCACTGACACATGTACTGACATGTACAGACACATGCACTGACACATGTACTGACACATGCACTGACACATGTACAGACACGTACTGACACGTGCACTGACACATGTACAGACACGTACTGACACATGCACAGACACATGCACTGACACATGTACTGACACATGCACTGACACATGTACAGACACGTACTGACACATGCACAGACACATGCACTGACACATGCACTGACACATGTACAGACACATGCACTGACACATGTACTGACACATGTACAGACACATGCACTGACACATGTACAGACATGTACTGACACCTACTGACACATGTACAGACACGTACTGACACATGTACTGACACATGCACTGACACATGTACAGACACATGCACTGACACGTACTGACACATGTACAGACACGTACTGACACATGTACAGACACATGCACTGACACATGTACTGACACATGTGCACTGACACATGTACAGACACATGCACTGACACATGTACTGACACAAGCACTGACACATGTACAGACACATGCACTGACACATGTACTGACACAAGCACTGACACATGTACAGACACATGCACTGACACATGTACAGACACATGCACAGACACAAGCACTGACACATGTACAGACACATGCACTGACACATGTACAGGCACAGACACATGCACTGACACATGTACAGACACATGCACTGACACATGTACAGACACATGCACTGACACATGTACAGACACTACTGACACATGTACAGACACATGCACTGACACATGTACAGACACATGCACTGACACATGTACAGACACATGCACTGACACATGTACAGACACATGCACTGACACATGTACAGACACATGCACTGACACATGTACAGACACGTACTGACACATGTACAGGCACATGCACAGACACATGCACTGACACGTACTGACACATGTACAGACACGTACTGACACATGTACAGACACATGCACTGACACATGTACTGACACATGCACTGACACATGTACAGACACGTACTGACACGTGCACTGACACATGTACAGACACGTACTGACACATGCACAGACACATGCACTGACACATGTACTGACACATGCACTGACACATGTACAGACACGTACTGACACATGCACAGACACATGCACTGACACATGCACTGACACATGTACAGACACATGCACTGACACATGTACTGACACATGTACAGACACATGCACTGACACATGTACAGACATGTACTGACACCTACTGACACATGTACAGACACGTACTGACACATGTACTGACACATGCACTGACACATGTACAGACACATGCACTGACACGTACTGACACATGTACAGACACGTACTGACACATGTACAGACACATGCACTGACACATGTACTGACACATGTGCACTGACACATGTACAGACACATGCACTGACACATGTACTGACACAAGCACTGACACATGTACAGACACATGCACTGACACATGTACTGACACAAGCACTGACACATGTACAGACACATGCACTGACACATGTACAGACACATGCACAGACACAAGCACTGACACATGTACAGACACATGCACTGACACATGTACAGGCACAGACACATGCACTGACACATGTACAGACACATGCACTGACACATGTACAGACACATGCACTGACACATGTACAGACACGTACTGACACATGTACAGACACATGCACTGACACATGTACAGACACATGCACTGACACATGTACAGACACATGCACTGACACATGTACAGACACATGCACTGACACATGTACAGACACATGCACTGACACATGTACAGACACGTACTGACACATGTACAGGCACATGCACAGACACATGCACTGACACGTACTGACACATGTACAGACACGTACTGACACATGTACAGACACATGCACTGACACATGTACTGACACATGTGCACTGACACATGCACTGACACATGCACTGACACATGTACTGACACAAGCACTGACACATGTACAGACACATGCATGCACTGACACATGCACAGACACATGCACTGACACATGTACAGACACGTACTGACACATGCACAGACACATGCACTGACACATGTACAGACATATGCACTGACACATGTACAGACACATGCACTGACACATGTACAGACACGTACTGACACATGCACAGACACATGCACTGACACATGTACAGACATATGCACTGACACATGTACAGACACATGCACTGACACATGTACAGACACGTACTGACACATGTACAGACACATGCACTGACACATGTACTGACTAAAGTCAGTGTCTGTGACACCATGCTCACACCATGTGTACACCATGCTCACACCATGTTTACACCATGTGTGCACCATGTGTACAGACAAACCTGCCTCTGGCTCTGACACTTCTATCACAGCAGGTTTATTTGTGTAGCACAACAGTCTGTTAACCTGCTCTGGAACACTCAGAGAATAAGTGTCTCACATTTTCAGGAAGACTGTTTTAGCTAAAGCTGAATGTCCTGCGACTCACAGGGACCTATGGTGCAGCGACTCACAGGGACCTATGGTAGTGACTCACAGGGACCTATGGTAGTGACTCACAGGGACCTATGGTGCAGCGACTCACAGGGACCTATGGTACAGTGACTCACAGGGACCTATGGTACAGCGGCTCACAGGGACCTATGGTACAGCGGCTCACAGGGACCTATGGTGCAGCGACTCACAGGGACCTATGGTAGTGACTCACAGGGACCTATGGTAGTGACTCACAGGGACCTTTGGTACAGTGACTCACAGGGACCTATGGTAGTGACTCACAGGGACCTATGGTAGTGACTCACAGGGACCTATGGTACAGCGGCTCACAGGGACCTATGGTACAGCGGCTCACAGGGACCTATGGTGCAGCGACTCACAGGGACCTATGGTACAGTGACTCACAGGGACCTATGGTACAGCGGCTCACAGGGACCTATGGTACAGGGACCTATGGTAGTGACTCACAGGGACCTATGGTACAGGGACCTATGGTAGTGACTCACAGGGACCTATGGTACAGCGGCTCACAGGGACCTATGGTAGTGACTCACAGGGACCTTTGGTACAGTGACTCACAGGGACCTATGGTACAGCGGCTCACAGGGACCTATGGTAGTGACTCACAGGGACCTATGGTACAGTGACTCACAGGACCTATGGTACAGCGACTCACAAGAACCTATGGTACAGCGACTACCAGACGCACAGGGACCTATGTTGACTCACAGGGACCTATGGTGGTACAGCGGCTCACAGGGACCTATGGTACAGGGACCATGGACAGCGACTCCAGGGACCTATGGGCTAACAGCAGACGTCACAGGGACCTATGGCTACAGGCGGCTCACAGGACTATGGACAGTGACTCACAGGGACCTACGGGACCTTGGTACAGCGACTCTCACAGGGACCTATGGTAGTGACTCACAGGGACCTATGGTACAGTGACTCACAGGGACCTATGGTACAGCGACTCACAAGAACCTATGGTACAGCGACTCACAGGGACCTATGGTAGTGACTCACAGGGACCTATAGTAGTGACTCACAGGGACCTATGGTACAGTGCGCTCACAGGGACCTATAGTGTACAGGGACCTATGGTACAGCGACTCACAGGGACCTATGGTACAGCGGCTCACAGGGACCTATGGTACAGCGACTCACAGGGACCTATGGTAGTGACTCACAGGGACCTATGGTAGTGACTCACAGGGACCTATGGTACAGTGACTCACAGGGACCTATGGTACAGTGACTCACAGGGACCTATGGTACAGTGACTCACAGGGACCTATGGTACAGCGACTCACAGGGACCTATGGTACAGTGACTCACAGGGACCTATAGTAGTGACTCACAGGGACCTATGGTAGTGACTCACAGGGACCTTTGGTACAGTGACTCACAGGGACCTATGGTAGTGACTCACAGGGACCTATGGTACAGCGGCTCACAGGGACCTATGGTAGTGACTCACAGGGACCTATGGTACAGGGACCTATGGTAGTGACTCACAGGGACCTATGGTACAGGGACCTATGGTAGTGACTCACAGGGACCTATGGTACAGCGGCTCACAGGGACCTATGGTAGTGACTCACAGGGACCTTTGGTACAGTGACTCACAGGGACCTATGGTACAGCGGCTCACAGGGACCTATGGTAGTGACTCACAGGGACCTATGGTACAGTGACTCACAGGGACCTATGGTACAGCGACTCACAAGAACCTATGGTACAGCGACTCACAGGGACCTATGGTAGTGACTCACAGGGACCTATAGTAGTGACTCACAGGGACCTATGGTACAGCGGCTCACAGGGACCTATGGTACAGGGACCTATGGTACAGCGACTCACAGGGACCTATGGTACAGCGGCTCACAGGGACCTATGGTACAGCGACTCACAGGGACCTATGGTAGTGACTCACAGGGACCTATGGTAGTGACTCACAGGGACCTATGGTACAGTGACTCACAGGGACCTATGGTACAGTGACTCACAGGGACCTATGGTACAGTGACTCACAGGGACCTATGGTACAGCGACTCACAGGGACCTATGGTACAGTGACTCACAGGGACCTATAGTAGTGACTCACAGGGACCTATGGTAGTGACTCACAGGGACCTTTGGTACAGTGACTCACAGGGACCTATGGTAGTGACTCACAGGGACCTATGGTACAGCGGCTCACAGGGACCTATGGTAGTGACTCACAGGGACCTTTGGTACAGTGACTCACAGGGACCTATGGTACAGCGGCTCACAGGGACCTATGGTAGTGACTCACAGGGACCTATGGTACAGCGACTCACAGGGACCTATGGTACAGCGACTCACAAGAACCTATGGTACAGCGACTCACAGGGACCTATGGTAGTGACTCACAGGGACCTATAGTAGTGACTCACAGGGACCTATGGTACAGCGGCTCACAGGGACCTATGGTACAGGGACCTATGGTACAGCGACTCACAGGGACCTATGGTACAGCGGCTCACAGGGACCTATGGTACAGCGACTCACAGGGACCTATGGTAGTGACTCACAGGGACCTATGGTAGTGACTCACAGGGACCTATGGTACAGTGACTCACAGGGACCTATGATACAGTGACTCACAGGGACCTATGGTACAGTGACTCACAGGGACCTATGGTACAGCGACTCACAGGGACCTATGGTACAGTGACTCACAGGGACCTATAGTAGTGACTCACAGGGACCTATGGTAGTGCCTCACAGGGACCTATGGTAGTGACTCACAGGGACCTATGGTAGTGCCTCACAGGGACCTATGGTAGTGACTCACAGGGACCTATGGTAGTGCCTCACAGGGACCTATGGTAGTGACTCACAGGGACCCGTCCCTGAGCTCAGTGGTTTCCTCCTGTTGCCTCACTCTGCCTCAGACGCCGAGCGGTGAGTGACTCTGACTTTAATTCACAGATAATTCATTTCTAATGTTTTTATTCTGCACTTTTCCTAAAACTTCAAACACTTTTTATTTTATTATGTTCAAAGGTCTTTAATAAAGTGAGAATCAGTTTGATGTAGATTTAACAATAACTAAAAACTATAAAGGTTCAAAACTAAAACTTCTTTGATTTATTAAAATGTTTATTCTTTTACTTTGTTTTGTTGAATGTAGTTCACCATCTTTATTAAGTATTTATTATGTATTTATTATGTATTTATTAAGTATTTATTATGTATTTATTATGTATTTATAAAGTATTTATTATGTATTTATTATGTATTTATTATTTATGATTGAATGTGACTCAGACATGAATGAACTGGATACAAAAGATTAACACGTTTAAAGACGATTCTTTTTAGAGAAAAGTCGAGCAGTGACTTTTAAACTTATATTTTCTTCTGTTCCGGGTTTTATAGATTTATAAAAGAACCTTTGTTTGGTACAGTCAGGAATGTGTGTGTCTGTGTGTGTGTCTGTGTGTGTGTGTCTGTGTGTGTGTGTGTCTGTGTGTGCGTCTGTGTGTGTGTGTGTCTGTGTGTGTGTGTCTGTGTGTGTGTGTGTCTGTGTGTGCGTCTGTGTGTGTGTGTGTCTGTGTGTGTGTCTGTGTGTCTGTCTGTGTGTGTGTGTGTCTGTCTGTGTGTGTGTGTCTGTGTGTGTCTGTGTGTGTGTCTGTGTGTCTGTCTGTGTGTGTGTGTCTGTGTGTGTGTGTCTGTGTGTGCGTCTGTGTGTGTGTCTGTGTGTCTGTGTGTGTGTCTGTGTGTCCTTGTGCTGTGTGTGTCTGTGTGTGTCTTTGTGTTGTGTGTGTCTGTGTTGTGTGTGTCTGTGTGTTGTGTGTGTCTTAGATGTTGTGTGTGTCCTTGTGTTGTGTGTGTCTGTGTTGTGTGTGTCTGTGTGTCTGTGTGTTGCATGTGTCTGTGTGTTGCGTGTGTCTGTGTGTTGCGTGTGTTTGTGTGTTGCGTGTGTTTGTGTGTTGTGTGTGTCTGTGTGTCTGTGTGTGCATCTGTGTGTGTGTGTGTATGTCTGTGTGTGTGTGTCTGTGTGTGCGTCTGTGTGTGTGTCTGTGTGTGTGTCTGTGTGTCCTTGTGCTGTGTGTGTCTGTGTGTGTCTTTGTGTTGTGTGTGTCTGTGTTGTGTGTGTCTGTGTGTTGTGTGTGTCTTAGATGTTGTGTGTGTCCTTGTGTTGTGTGTGTCTGTGTTGTGTGTGTCTGTGTGTTGCATGTGTCTGTGTGTTGCGTGTGTCTGTGTGTTGCGTGTGTTTGTGTGTTGCGTGTGTTTGTGTGTTGTGTGTGTCTGTGTTGTGTGTGTCTGTGTGTTGCGTGTGTTTGTGAGTTGTGTGTGTCTGTGTGTATCCTTGTGTTGTGTGTGTCTTTGTGTTGTGTGTGTCTGTGTGTTGTGTTTCTTAGATGTTGTGTGTTTCTTAGATGTTGTGTGTGTCTGTGTGTTCTGTGTGTCGTCTGTGTCTGTGTTGTGTGTCCTTGTGTTGTGTGTTTCTTAGATGTGTGTGTCGTGTGTCCTTGTGTTGTGTGTGTCTGTGTGATGTGTGTCTGTGTGTTGTGTGTGTCTGTGTGATGTGTGTGTCTGTGTGATGTGTGTCTGTGTGATGTGTGTGTCTGTGTGATGTGTGTGTCTATGTGATGTGTATGTCTGTGTGTTGTGTGTGTCTGTGTGTGTTGTGTGTCTGTGTGTTGTGTGTCTGTGTGTTGTGTGTGATGTGTGTCTGTGTGTTGTGTGTGTCTGTGTGATGTGTGTCTGTGTGTTGTGTGTGTCTGTGTGTGTTGTGTGATGTGTGTCTGTGTGTTGTGTGTGTCTGTGTGATGTGTGTGTCTGTGTGATGTGTGTCTGTGTGTCTGTGTGTGTCTGATAGTTGTGGTTCCAGGAGGTTAAAGATATTTCTGACTGATCTCACTTTTGGCGTAAACACAATCACTCAAAAACACGAAAAGGTGTGAACAGGAAGTGTGCAGCGTGTGCGACCGTCAAATCAGACCCTCCGCTTCCATCTGCAGAAAAACCACAGTGTTCTGACCTGAAACGAAGCGGAACCAGAGATGGTCCAGAATAATCCACAGACAACAGCTGACACATGGTATTCAGTGTTGTTCCTTTCTGGTAAAATCTCTGACTTTCGCAAAATAAAAAAAGAGCATTAATCTCGAATATTCTAGTGCAGATATAGTATGTTTACGATCAGTGTGGGCGGGTCCCGGCTCAAAAGTGTCCAAAATGGCGTGCGCTGACATGCTGCAGTACCACCCCGGGCCTGTGGGGGTGGACCCTGACATGCTGCAGTACCACCCCGGGCCTGTGGGGGTGGACCCAGAAGAAGAATTAGCCAATGCTAACATATAGCATTAGCAGACCTCTGGAAAACGTCTTTACAGGATGGTCCAAAAGTTGTCTCTTGGCCCAAAGCTCCGGTCCACATGTGTGTCAAGGCTGAGTGTTCTGGACCAGTCTAGTTTAGTCGCTGTGGACTTTAGAAGTCTCTCGTTTAAATGAATGGAGCTCTCGCAGCTGACTCATGCACAGATGTGTTTTTTCACATTTTCCAGCCCCTGCGGCCATTTTGAATCACTCCATGAGAGCCCAATGTTTGGCCCATTAGTTAACAGACATTCTGTTATTGCACATTCTGTTACTGCACATTCTGTTACTGCACATTCTGATATTGCACATTCTGTTATTGCACATTCTGTTATTGCACATTCTGATATTGCACATTCTGTTACTGCACATTCTGTTACTGCACATTCTGTTACTGCACATTCTGTTACTGCACATTCTGTTACTGCACATTCTGTTACTGCACATTCTGATATTGCACATTCTGTTATTGCACATTCTGTTATTGCACATTCTGATATTGCACATTCTGTTTTTGCACATTCTGATATTGCACATTCTGTTACTGCACATTCTGTTATTGCACATTCTGTTACTGCACATTCTGTTATTGCACATTCTGTTACTGCACATTCTGTTACTGCACATTCTGATATTGCACATTCTGTTATTGCACATTCTGTTATTGCACATTCTGATATTGCACATTCTGTTACTGCACATTCTGTTACTGCACATTCTGTTATTGCACATTCTGATATTGCACATTCTGATATTGCACATTCTGATATTGCACATTCTGATATTGCACATTCTGTTTTTGCACATTCTGATATTGCACATTCTGTTACTGCACATTCTGATATTGCACATTCTGTTATTGCACATTCTGTTATTGCACATTCTGTTACTGCACATTCTGTTACTGCACATTCTGATATTGCACATTCTGTTATTGCACATTCTGTTATTGCACATTCTGATATTGCACATTCTGTTACTGCACATTCTGTTACTGCACATTCTGTTATTGCACATTCTGATATTGCACATTCTGTTATTGCACATTCTGTTATTGCACATTCTGTTACTGCACATTCTGTTACTGCACATTCTGTTATTGCACATTCTGATATTGCACATTCTGTTACTGCACATTCTGTTACTGCACATTCTGTTATTGCACATTCTGTTACTGCACATTCTGTTACTGCACATTCTGTTACTGCACATTCTGTTATTGCACATTCTGTTACTGCACATTCTGTTATTGCACATTCTGTTACTGCACATTCTGTTATTGCACATTCTGATATTGCAACCTCTGATATTAGTTTAAATTATTGCACAGACGCTCGGCAGGTGAGGTCAGGTGGCAGTGTTCGTTGTACAGTCTGACGCATGTGTGTAACTCTGTGGAGTATATTTATTAATGTTGAAAAAGAGGAATGGGAAACAGATGCTCGGAGCTTCCTGTCGTCGCGGCGCTTCCTGTTCCTCATGAACCAGAGGCGTTTCTAAAGTGGCGAAAGAAAGGTTTCATCAAAGATTCCCGTTAACGATGATGTCACCGCAAAGTGCTGACCGAGAGACGGCACTTTGGACAGGGCCTTTCTCTCAAGTGCTGGATACAATTGTTTCAATAAAGAATGTTTTAGTGCATTCTTTACCTTTTGCAAAGTTTGACATTTTTACAACTAAAAACCAAGATTTGAATGGATTTTTAAAATAGAGATGAAGTAACAGAGATAAAGATGTTCTTCACAGTTGTCTGTGTTTATTATTATTATTATTATTATTGTAATAGACAATTATTATTATTATTGTAACTTGTATGGGGAGAGGGTAAATATGTTCACCCCACGATGAACGTTATTTTACTTTATGAATGGGAGGGAGGGGAATCTGCTGGTCACCAATGTCTTCTTTTCTTGTCTTACACTTAGTTAGTTTATCCATTTTCTACCGAACTCTGCTTTGTTGCATTTTGTGCCAAATTAAACGCAGTAATGACCAAGCATAGATCACATGATTTTGATGTGGATCTGGACCCGGAGAGTAATTTACTGAGTAATGTAAGCCATACTTGTAAATATTACACAGATGACGAGTTTACATCAACTAGCAATTCAATAAATGGTGTTTCATTTATTCATTTCAATATTCGAAGCCTTTATGCTAATTTTATTAGGATGAAAGATTATTTGTATTCACTTAAGTATCGTTTTAAAATAATAGCGCTTTCTGAAACTTGGCTTCGCGATGAGAATGTTTCTGATTTTGAAATAGAAGGATACACAATGCACTACACAAATCGCCCTGGAAGGTGTTGTATGTTGACAATATCTTGAATTGCAAAGTTGTCGAACCAATGACTATGGCTATTGAAGGAATTATGGAAAGTGTGGCTGTAGAAATTGAGATGTTGAAAAGCAGGAACGTGATAGCTGCATGCGTGTATAGAGCACAAAGCTCGAAAGTGGATGATTTTCAGTTCAATTTTGAAAAAATATTAGACGCACAGGATAACCAAAAAACCCTTTTGATCGGCAGAGACTTTAATATTGATTTTCTTAATTCACGAAATTGTAGAGCAACTTCTGATTTCTTAAGTGCTCTATGTTCACGCTCTCTGTTCCCTCTGATTTCACATCCAAGTAGAATCACCACATCCTGTGCTACATTGATCGACAATATTATCACAAATAATGCAGACCACTTTATATCAAGTGGATTGTTGATTAATGACATTAGCGATCACCTGCCTGTTTTTACCATCTATGACCTGCAGCCTAGAAAATATGAAAAGCTGAATTACTCTACATACTGCAGAGTCAGAACAGAAATTAATATCCAACAATTTAGAAACGAACTTCTCAAGCAACACTGGTCTGGAGTCTATGTGGGTGATGTGAATGAAGCTTATTATTCCTTTTTAAATACTTTTATATCACTATATAATATTTGGTGTCCATTGAAGCAATCCAAAAAAATTACTAGAACTGATAAACCCTGGTTTACAAGAGGAATAATAAGAGCATGTCATAAGAAAAATAAACTGTATAAAAATTATGTTAAAAATCGGAACACTGATAACGAAAAAAAAATACAAACTATACAAAAACAAATTAACTACCATTATGAGAAATGCTGAGAAGGATTACTATAACAGAAAACAGAGAGAATCATGGGAACATGAAGGCGACTTGGAATGTACTAAACAGAGCAATCAGACCCAACTCCAAACAAAAAACATACCTGATTACTTCATTGAGGATGATATTGTTCATAATGATAAAAGAAAGATTGCTGATGAATTTAACTTGTTTTTTACTAATATAGGAGCTAATATAGCCAAGAGTATGGACGGATCGAATCAAAGGGGAACATCTGAGATTCTGGGAGAGGTCTTTGAAAACGAAATTTTATCTATTGTCAATAAGTGTAAAAGTAAAACCACAGACAGTGATGGACTCGACATGTTCATTATAAAAAGAACTATCGACTGCATTATCAAACCTTTGACATTTATCTGTAATCTGTCTATACAAACTGGTGTTTTTCCGGATCAAATGAAAGTCGCCAAAGTAATCCCGCTTTTCAAAAATGGGGATGAACATACATTTAACAACTACAGACCAGTGTCGCTGCTCTCTCAGTTTTCCAAAGTCCTGGAGAAATGGTTCTCTCATAGACTTACACACTTCTTAGATAAACATAACTTAATCAGTGAAAAACAGTATGGGTTCAGGACACAACGATCTACAAGCCTAGCACTTATTGAATTGGTTGAAAAAATAACAGCTGCTACGGAAAGAAGGGAATATACAGTCGGAGTATTTATTGACTTACGCAAGGCATTTGATACCGTAAATCATGAGTTGCTACTGTCCAAACTATATTGCTATGGAATCAGGGGGCCAGTACACCAATGGCTTCAAAGTTATATTTCTAACCGTGAACAATATGTGCATATCAAGGGGGTGAATTCACATTACAAAAAGGTCACATGTGGAGTCCCACAAGGGTCCGTTTTAGGACCTTTGCTTTTTATTTTGTTTATCAATGACATCTGTGAAGCGTCTAATATCTTAAACTTTTTGTTGTTTGCTGATGACACCAGTATATTCAACTCGGGTAATAACTTGCTTGAATTAACAGAAAGAGTTTGTGCTGAATTAAAAAATGTGAGGAATTGGTTTAATGCAAATAAGTTATCATTAAATTGGGACAAAACAAACTTTATGATATTTGGTAACAAAAATAAAAATGATGATGTGAAAATCACAATTGATGGAGTTCGGATTGAAAGGGTTAATGAAGTTAAGTTTCTGAGCGTTGTCTTAGATGAGAAATTTAATTGGAAAGCTCACATAGACTATGTAAAGAAAAAAATTAGTAAAACTATTGGTATCTTGTACAAAGTGAAAGATTTATTTGATTGTAGCTCGTTACATATGCTGTACTGCTCACTGGTTCTCCCATATTTCAGTTACTGCACTGAAATCTGGGGTAATACATATAGCACCAACACCAAACCCTATAAGAATTATTAACAATAAACATTATAGAGAGCATACAAACATCTTGTTTATAGCATCTGGACAACTCAAGTTTAAGGATATTGTTGATTTGAAAATCTTGCTCCTTGTGTGGAAAGCTAAACAGAAAATGTTGCCCAATTATGTGCAAGATCTATTTTGCGTGAGTGAAGACACAGAAGTAAACACAACTTCCGAACCAAATTTGCCAGGACAACACTGAAACAGAAATGTCCCTCAGTTTATGGAGTTAAACTGTGGAACTCCTTGAATGAAGAACTCAAAGTTTGTAAAAGTGTGTGGAAGTTTAAGAGAATGTATAAAGTAAAAATGTTGAATGAATATAATCTAGGTTAAAAAAGAGGATTGTATCTGACGAAATGTGAGACATTGAGGACTGTTGATGCGTTTGTGCAATTGGTGACTTGGGTTTTTGGTGTTTGGGGTTTAAATTGGGAAATTCAATTTGCTTTCCTTATTTTATTTTATTGTTTTTGTACAAAGGACAGGATATACAAGATTTATCTTCTTTCTGTTCCTTTTGTTCAGGTAAAAGCATGTATGAATGTGTCAACTGCAAATTGATTATGAAAAATTGCATGAACAATAAACAATAAACAAATAAACAAATAATTAATATTATTATTATTATTATTCTGTGCCCAGAGGCAGTGTTTCCAACTATAACAAGGAGGTTGTGGTTTTGGTCCTTTTTAGACAAAGACGCTGTGAAGCATTTAGCAAAAACAACCAGGCTCTGTATTCTTTAAGTATAAACTCCGCCCCCGGGCACTTCTCCTCCTTCCTCTGACAGGTGTGTGTTTTCAGAACCATGGACACCTGGGAGGACGACCTGCAGTACCTGCTCGACCACTTTAACCAATCAGATTACGGCACTGACCCCACGTACCTGTCCAAGGGCCCCGTCCAGCTCTGCTCCAAGACGGACGTCAACACCTTTGGCTCCGCCTTCGTCCCGGCGTTCTACCTGGCCACCTTCGTCCTGGGTTGCCTTGGAAACGGCCTGGTGCTGGTCACCATCGTTGCGTACGAGAAGCTGCAGAGCGTCACCAACGTCTTCCTCCTGAACCTGGTGATGTCAAACCTGATCTTCGCGGCGTCGCTGCCGTTCTGGGCGGCGTACCACCGGTGGGAGTGGCTTTTCGGGCGCTTCATGTGCAAAGCCGTGAGCAGCGCGTACATGATCGGCTACAACAGCTCCATCCTCTTCCTCACGCTCATCACCTTCGACCGTTACCTCGCCGTGGTCCACGCCGTCGCCGCCGCAAAGAGCCGCAAGAAGCTGTACGCCGTCTTCGCTTCTGTGGTCGTCTGGGCCGTTAGCATAGCGGCTAGCATCAAGGACATCCTGTTGCGCGACGTCCAAAAGAACCCCCAGTCCGGCCTTCTCTGCGAGGACACTGGATACTCCAAGGACATCATGAACCGCTGGCGTTTCGTTAGCACCTGTGTCCAGTTTTCTCTCTTCTTCATGGTTCCGCTGTGTCTGGTCATGTTCTGCTATGCTAGCATAACCGCGCGCATCCTCGCCACGCAGCTCAAAGAGAAGTGTCGCACGATCAAGCTCATTTTCGTCATAATCTTTACATTCTTTGTCTTTTGGACGCCGTACAATATCGTCTGCCTTCTGCGGGTGCTAAAGCTAAAGCAGGATGGAGCGGCGGCGGGTGCTAGCGTGTGCGAGGATTCCGAGAGCCTGGATTACGCGCTCTACGTGACGCGGAACTTGGCGTACCTGTACTGCGGCGTCAGCCCGGTCTTCTACACCTTCGTGGGGAAGAAGTTCCAGAGCCATTTCCGCAGACTTCTGGGGAAATACGTGCCGTGTCTGAAACGCAGAATGAGTTTGAGTAGCCACAGCAGCGTTAGCATCGGCGGCAGCACCAAGACCACGTCACAGAGAACCCACAACGCCATCCAAGCTAGCGCCTTTAGCATCGTTTAGCTAACTCTCCACCCCCTCAGAGCGACCACATCACTCCTGCTGACTCCCTGTAGCTTTTATACAGCCTCTGTGTAGGTTTCCTCCAGGTGCTCCGGTTTACCCTACCTCTAAACACCCACTCCTGCGTCCTCCATGGTTCAATAAAAGTCCATAAATGTTTCTTTTTCTCCCAGATTGAGCTGATGTTGTTCCTGGTTTGGTTCACTTTGACCTTTGGTTTGAGCGTCATTTGTAGCATTTGAAATGTGTGTACTTCCAGGTGCACTTTTTCCTTTCTTTTATACTTTTAAAAAACATATATTTCTGTCGTTTAATTTTGTTTTGGATCATTTTGTTGAAAGCAGTCACTGTGCTTTGTACAATGTCATTTATAAAAGTTTATGTAACACTTTTGTATCTTTCTAAACTTAAATAAACTTCACATGAGCCGTTTCTGTCTGTGTCCAACTCCAGGCCCGTGGGCCACATGCGGCCGCTGGACAGAGGAAGCGGCCCCTGACACCTTCAATGATGACTATGACCTTCAGCATGGACAGTGGGTCAGTGGGAGCTTCCATGGCCTGTTACACCTCATGCTAAAGATAATCTCTTTTGGATTTCTTTGAGTTTAGTTCCAGAGAATTCCATTGGTCAGACTAACAGAGATAAAAACAAAAAGATAATGATAATAAACTAAATAGGTGAAAGTAAGAGTTGTGTGTCTGTGATACCAGTGACGTGAACCATCAAACCACTGTGTGAAAGGACCATAAACAGAGAACACATGGTTTACATGAAGAGAAAGACTAAAGTGCTCTAATGTAAACTGTCATTCGCTTCACTCTTTGGTCATAAAGTTAAATAATAATAATAACCCCTTTTGCCTCTTCCACCTCCTGCCACTGGGGGCAGTGTCGCCTGCAGTGTGCCACTGTTTATTAAGATAATGGGTGAAACAGGTACTGCAGTCTTTTTATTTATAGTGCCAAAGTGCTGTGATCAAAGTGCTGCTTCTCTGAGACCTGAGACCAACATCGAAAAAACCTCAGGTGGAAATCCGGTTCAGGATCTGATCTGCAACAGGAAGTTACTACATTTAGATAAAGTGAAGGAGTACCCAGGACCGAGGCTGTAGATCCAGGACTGAGGCTGTAGACCCAGGACCGAGGCTGTAGATCCAGGACTGAGGCTGTAGACCCAGGACCGAGGCTGTAGATCCAGGACTGAGGCTGTAGACCCAGGACCGAGGCTGTAGACCCAGGACTGAGACCCAGGACCGAGGCTGTAGACCCAGGACTGAGGCTGTAGACCCAGGACCGAGGCTGTAGACCCAGGACCGAGGCTGTAGACCCAGGACCGAGGCTGTAGACCCAGGACTGAGGCTGTAGACCCAGGACTGAGGCTGTAGACCCAGGACCGAGGCTGTAGACCCAGGACCGAGGCTGTAGACCCAGGACCGAGGCTGTAGATCCAGGACTGAGGCTGTAGACCCAGGACTGAGGCTGTAGACCCAGGACCGAGGCTGTAGACCCAGGACCGAGGCTGTAGACCCAGGACCGAGGCTGTAGACCCAGGACTGAGGCTGTAGACCCAGGACTGAGGCTGTAGACCCAGGACTGAGGCTGTAGACCCAGGACTGAGGCTGTAGACCCAGGACTGAGGCTGTAGACCCAGGACCGAGGCTGTAGACCCAGGACTGAGGCTGTAGACCCAGGACTGAGGCTGTAGACCCAGGACTGAGGCAGTAGACCCAGGACTGAGGCAGTAGACCCAGGACTGAGGCTGTAGACCCAGGACTGAGGCTGTAGACCCAGGACTGAGGCAGTAGACCCAGGACTGAGGCTGTAGACCCAGGACTGAGGCTGTAGACCCAGGACCGAGGCTGTGGACCCAGGACCGAGGCTGTGGACCCAGGACCGAGGCTGTGGACCCAGGACCGAGGCTGTGGACCCAGGACCGAGGCTGTAGACCCAGGACCGAGGCTGTAGACCCAGGACTGAGGCTGTAGACTCAGGACTGAGGCTGTAAACCCAGGACTGAGGCTGTAGACCCAGGACTGAGGCTGTAGACCCAGGACTGAGGCTGTAGACCCAGGACTGAGGCTGTAGACCCAGGACTGAGGCTGTAGACCCAGGACTGAGGCTGTAGACCCAAGACTGAGGCTGTAGACCCAGGACTGAGGCTGTAGACCCAGGACTGAGGCTGTAGACCCAGGACTGAGGCTGTAGACCCAGGACTGAGGCTGTAGACCCAGGACTGAGGCTGTAGACCCAGGACTGAGGCTGTAGACCCAGGACTGAGGCTGTAGACCCAGGACTGAGGCTGTAGACCCAGGACTGAGGCTGTAGACCCAGGACTGAGGCTGTAGACCCAGGACTGAGGCTGTAGACCCAGGACTGAGGCTGTAGACCCAGGACTGAGGCTGTAGACCCAGGACAGAGGCTGTAGACCCAGGACTGAGGCTGTAGACCCAGGACTGAGGCTGTAGACCCAAGACTGAGGCTGTAGACCCAGGACTGAGGCTGTAGACCCAGGACTGAGGCTGTAGACCCAGGACTGAGGCTGTAGACCCAGGACCTTTTGCAAATGAACTTTTTAAATGTAACTAAGTGCATAAAACAATAAAGGCCGTCTCCTGGTGTGTGTGTGAATGGTTGGTGGTGGTGGGAGGGGCTTCTGTCAGTGTGCCCCAGGGCAGCTGTGGCTACAGTAGTTTAACATCCGTGTCACACGCACACATACTCACACAGCCTCTGACACGCACACACACACACACACACACACAGACACACACACACACACATACACGTTTTTGTTACCTGGTGGGTCCCTTTGACAGGGCCGTTCAGAATGGGACCCATAGACATAATCTTTTTTTACTGGGACTACTTTAAGTAATACAAAACAGTCAATAGAAACCAAACAACTATTTTAAAGGAATTTTATTTTAGATTTTTTTTTCGAATTGCAGTGATTCTATTTTTGACATAGAATTTAATGCCACTCCATGTCCGATGTCTAAGGTCATCTGGTGAGGCATTAATGCAGGCCAGGCAGTGAGACTTCCCAGGGACCTTTCCAGTCTGTATGAAAGGTGTCATGGTCTTCTCCACAGCCTTCACCTCAGATGCAGACCATGGCTTTCTCTAACGTTCTAGGGAGAGAAATAAAAATATATTAGCAATATACACTCCCAGGGTGAGGACCAAGCAGCCTGGCTGTAATCCCCCACCTGGTACACTTACCAGAAGGGGCACTGCCACTACCATGGGGTGCATCTGGATGAATGGTTGAAGGTTCTCCGCTTGAAGTTTCTTTTAGCCCGTCCGTTTGTGAGAGGATCTCTACTGCTCTCCCTGTCGCACAGAAAATAAAAATACAAGTGGCCTTTAGGGGAAAAAAATCATACATATTTTAATAATATCAAGAATTACCTTCAGGCTCAATTTGTATCTGGTCGAGGCTCTTTCCTTCGAATTCCGTCACTCTTCCCTGCTCCATGGCCATCAACACTTTGCTGATTTTGGCCAGCTCCAGTGTCCCCTCTGGTAGTCTGTAATATTGCCTGTGGATGCGAATGTCATGGCCGAGGAAGTTGGCAAGTATGTCCATCTCATTCTCTTTCATATTGAGAACTGTAGACATAGTAGCTATGTGCTTTCTAAGTTTGGTTGAGGATAGCATCTCTGGATGCACCGCACCACATTCTTTGGCTACCTGGCGTAGGGAGTCTGATCCCCTGATGTGGGTGTCTGCGCCCGGGCGGGAAAAGAAGTATGGGTTATGGTCAGAGATGGAACAGGCCCTTCTGTTCTCCACCAGCACCTCCATCGAAGCAATCATTTCAGGAGTCAAAAGAACCGGCACTTTCCGACTTCTTTTCCCTTTAATTTCAATGCGTTGAAAATGCTGACACAGCTTTTTCTCAAGTTGGGACAGTCCCAGAGCAATGTCAGAATGGATCCCAGTCTTACTTCTTAAGGTAAAGGCTGTCAGTGGCATCTTTGAAACCTCACCTTCCCTTCTTCGATTGAAAATGATGACCTCACAAAGAGTCAAAACTGCCAGTTTAGACCAATGCTTAGACGTTGGCTCACTTATTAGGGTTTGCACATATTCAGGTCGACATACCTCAATATGTGCATGCATGGCTCTAACGTCCTCAGTCAGAGGGAGCAGGTCCGGAGTGTTCCACTTGGCTTGCCGGAGGGTCTGTAGGGCAGCAGAAGAAACACAGACGTCCCACCTCTTCTCAAAAAGCAGCCGGCTTCGTTGGAGGTTTTTAATAAATAGTTCATCAACACAATGCTCCATTTTTGAGTCACATTCAAGAATATCTGCTAGCTTTCTGAGGCTATGGCCGAGTTTGAGGGCCAAGGATGGAGTCTTGTATTGATTTGTTTCCTCATCATATCCAGCCACAGACCTGACTGCATCAATCACATGGTTAAAGTTGGAAGGAATAAAGAAATCCTTAATTGTTTTCAGTTTCCCTGCGGTTTTTGCTTCGTTAATTCACCTACCGACTTCTCTCATTTTCTGCCTAATGTAATCATGCTTTGTCTTATCATGCCCGTGTTTTAAGTACAGGTGCTCTCCGAGTCTCAGAATCCCCTTTTCTGCTTTGACAACACCCGTGACCTCATCCTGATGCATTGCCCAAATTAAAGACCACAGCTTTTTGCTGATGCCCTCCGGTACAGGCTGGGCTAGGGAGCAGAGGGACTGGACCCTACTTCTACCTGGTTTAGCCTGGGCATCTTTCTGTGAAAGCCGGCACCTGGCCACATGCCTCCACAGCGACTTTCGCTTAAGCAATGCCCCACAGTCTATACAGTGCAAAAACTCACTGGATTTAACTGGGGAATTTGGCTGTTTAGCTGGGACTAAAGTTCCAATGCCGGCCTTTAAAACCTCAAAATTGTGCTCACGGTTTCCACTATTCCTGATCAAATCAAACTGAAGTTTACGTGCTTTAGATTTCACAGGTAGAGCCAATGCTCTGGCTACGTCACTTTCATTTCCATGTTTTCTAGTCAAATGACGGGACATTTTGTGACAGGACATTGAACAGTAGAGGCAGAAGTGTCTCTTGCTGTAAACTCGCCCCCCATTTTTCTTCTTTTGCAGCTGCATGATAACAATCTTATTTGCCTTTGGTTCGTCACTTTCCGAGTCTTGAAGAAAAGTGTTTTTGATTTTTCTTTTTCCATACTTTTTTACAGGTTTCTTCTTGACAGTTAAATCGTCAGAATCTGAGTCGACTTCATCAATTAGGGACTCTTGACTAAGCTGCACAAACAACAAATAATTTGTAATCATTCTATATAACAATTTGAAGTCATGACTTGTAGTCAGCACTTACCAGTGGTTTGTAAGCGTGCGCTTCAGTGTGCTCCTCCATGATGTCTTGCAGCCTAATGAACCACACACTTGCACCTTTTTCTAGCCTGACACCTGATTTCCTCTGTTGTGCTGCTCCATGATTGGCTCCAGCCTCTGTTGTGCTGCTCCATGATTGGCTCCAGCCTCTGTTGTGCTGCTCCATGATTGGCTCCAGCCTCTGTTGTGCTGCTCCATGATTGGCTCCAGCCTCTGTTGTGCTGCTCCATGATTGGCTCCAGCCTCTGTTGTGCTGCTCCATGATTGGCTCCAGCCTGCTGGACTGAAATTGCCCCAGTGTGCCCCTCCTTGATATCCCGCAACCCACCACCAGGGTTCCGACACATAACACACTTTTTTCAGGAAAGTAAACCTCCAGGGGTCCTTTCCATATTTTTACAGAGACTGCATAAGGACCGTTAGAAAAGCATTACCCATTGATTATTAAGCTTGGACCAGTGGGGTCCGGTGTTCGGGCCCCACCACGTAAAACCAGTCCCCATGACGTGAGCGGAATCTCAGGTTATGGAACCCACCAGGAGTTGAAAACAAGTGCACACACACACACACACACACACACACACACACACACACACACACACACACACACACACACACACACACACACACACACACACACACACACACACACACACACACACACACACACACACACACACACACACACACACACACACACAAACACACACAGAGACACACAGCCTCATGTCATCTGCTGCTAACACTGCCCTCCACTGGCCGACCACAGAACTGCACTTCTCTCACAGGCAGAGACCTTCTGCTCATCTGGGGGAATCCTGAGGGTCCAGCTCTTGGTCTCTTCCTGGTCTCCTCCTGTGGGACGTGTCCAGAACACCTCCTCAGAGAGGAGACCTCTATCTCTCAGGGAGCAGCAACCCGACTCTGAGCTCCTCTATCTCTCAGGGAGCAGCGGCTCTACTCTGAGCTCCTCTATCTCTCAGGGAGCAGCGGCTCTACTCAGAGCTCCTCTATCTCTCAGGGAGAAGCGGCTCTACTCTGAGCTCCTCTATCTCCCAGGGAGCAGCAGCTCTACTCTGAGCTCCTCTATCTCTCAGGGAGCAGCGGCTCAACTCTGAGCTCCTCTATCTCTCAGGGAGCAGCGGCTCTACTCAGAGCTCCTCTATCTCTCAGGGAGAAGCGGCTCTACTCTGAGCTCCTCTATCTCCCAGGGAGCAGCGGCTCTACTCTGAGCTCCTCTATCTCCCAGGGAGCAGCGGCTCTGAATCTCATGTAGAGTTTGTATCCACATCTCGTCCTTTCGGTCTTTACCAAAAGATCAGGACCAGAGGTGAGGGTGGGAGCTCTGACTGCAGACGCTGCTCCATCTCCACCAAAAACGCTTTGACATTACTGTGGAACATTCAACAATAACAGAGTTAGAACTGGACCCTTATTAAATATGGCTCACATTTGTCTGCGCAACAGGTAAATACATATACAGTATATATAAATATATATATATATATATATATATATATATATATATATATATAAATATATATATATATATATATATATATATATATATATATATATATATATATATATATATATATATATATATATATATATATATATATATAAAAAAAATTGTCCACTCACCTTTGGCCCTCCGCGGGCGGTTATCCCTCTCTAAGCTCGGGTCCTCTACCAGAGGCCAGGGAGCTTGAGGGTTCTGCGCAGTATCTTTGCTGTTCCTAGCACTGCACATTTCTGGACCGAGATGTCCGAGGTTGTTCCAGGGATCCGCTGTAACCTCTTCTAGCTTCGGGGTCACTGCCCCGAGTGCACCGATCACCACGGGCACTACTGTCACCTTTACCCTCCAGGCCCTCTCCAGCTCCTCTCTGAGACCTTGGTATTTCTCAAGCTTTTCATGTTCTTTTTTCCGGATGTTACCATCGCTTGGAATTGCCACGTCCACCACCACGGCTGTCCTCTGCCCTTTGTCTACCACCACGATGTCAGGTTGGTTTGCCATTACCATTCGGTCGGTCTGTATCTGGAAGTCCCACAGGATCTTCGCACGCTCATTCTCCACCACCTTTGGAGGAGTTTCCCACTTAGACCTTGGGGTTTCCAGCCCATACTCTCCACAGATGTTTCTGTACACTATGCCAGCCACTTGGTTATGGCGTTCCATGTAGGCCTTCCCTGCCAGCATCTTGCACCCTGCAGTTATGTGTTGGATCGTCTCAGGTGCCTCTTTGCACAACCGACACCTTGGGTCTTGTCTGGTGTGGTATATCTGGGCCTCTATCGCTCTGGTGCTCAGTGCCTGTTCCTGTGCAGCCATGATGAGTGCCTCTGTGCTGTCCTGTAGGCCAGCCCTTTCTAGCCATTGGTAGGACTTCTTGAGATCAGCCCTTTCTAGCCATTGGTAGGACTTCTTGAGATCAGCCACTTCTGTTATGCTCCGGTGGTACATGCCGTGTAGGGGCTTGTTCTCCCATGATGGGCTCTCCTCCAGCACCTCCTCATCTCGCCACTGCCTGAGACATTCACTGAGTACGTCATCCGTTTTGGCGGGATTTGGCGTATATATAAAATATATATATATATATATATATATATATATATATATATAATATATATATATATATATATATAATATATATATATATATTATATATATATATATATATATATATATATATATATATATATATATATATATATATATATATATATATATATATATATATAATATATATATATATATATATACATGTATGTGGTCATAAGCACACACATGGAGCTGAAGCGGAGGTTCAGGATGGTAGACTACCTACGTTATCACACCAGGCTTGACCACGCCTTACTCAGCCTGTCTTAATCAACTCCCCGCAGCTGTGTCAATCAAGCCAGCGTTTAAGAGCAAAGCAGAGCACAGCTCACCAAACGGACTTCAAGCTGCAATGGGTTGCTCTTCGTCACTTTGTTACTCACGTCTCGCACATTGTTCGTCCTGCATGGTCGCGGCTCCTCTTCCACATCGCATGTTTGGGGCTGCGCGCCATGGTCGCTGTGTCTCCACCGCGGCTCACCGCGGGTCCTCTCCTGCGGACTTGCTGCCGCTCGTCTCCCCGTGGCCGCTGCTGCTCGCGGCCAGGCGTTACTCCGTGCACCCTGCAGCTTCCATACCGGGCACGGGACTTCTGTCTGCTGCCGCTGTCCACCCGTCTCCCTGCCTCCACTCACGGTACAGTGTCGGTTCGTTGTTTTCCGCACTACCATGAACTGTACTGAACTGCGGCGTGTCAGTTAATCCCGCCGAATTGTCTCGCAGGCTGTGTTTTTACCCGCTGCATTGCTCTTCAGGCTGTTCGTTTTACCATCTGCACTGGCATTTAGACCGTCCGTTTTCACCATGGACCGTACATTTTAACCACTGTGTTGGCCTTCTGGCTGTCCGTTTTACTCATGGGCTGAACATTCTGCACACTGCATTGACCTTCAGGCTGTCAGTTGTAACCATGGACTATGGTTACAACGCCGCACGCCTCAACGACGCCGCACGCCTCAACGACGCCGCACGCCTCAACGACGCCGCACGCCTCAACGACGCCGCGCGCTTTGACGCCGCACGCCTCAACGACGCCGCACGCCTCAACGACGCCGCACGCCTCAACGACGCCTCAACGAGGCCGCGCGCTTTGACGCCGCGCGCTTCAACGACGCCGCACGCTTCATCGCAGCTCGTCGGCGGCCGCACGCTTCATCACAGCTCGTCGGCGGCCGCACGCTTCATCGCCGGTGGCCGCTGTTTGACGCCACGTCGGTGTCCGCTGTTTGACGCCACGTCGGTGTCCGCCTCCTGCCGCATTCTCGACGCCACGCTTCGACGCATTCGTGTGCTCTCATCCATTCATCGTGGGACCAGTGTCGACCATGGACTCGCGTTCCCTATTGGGGGGTGAACAATCCAACGCTTGGAGAGTTCTGCTTCACAATGACGGGAAGAGCCGGCATCGACAGATCAGGTCAGTGGTCTGACTGAAGACGTAGTCTGACTGAAGACGTGGTCTGACTGAAGACGTGGTCCGACTGAAGACGTGGTCCGACTGAAGACGTGGTCTGACTGAAGACGTGGTCTGACTGAAGACGTGGTCTGACTGAAGACGTGGTCTGACTGAAGACGTGGTCTGACTGAAGACGTGGTCTGACTGAAGACGTGGTCTGACTGAAGACGTGGTCCGACTGAAGACGTGGTCTGACTGAAGACGCGGTCCGACTGAAGACGTGGTCTGACTGAAGACGTGGTCTGACTGAAGACACGGTCTGACTGAAGACGTGGTCTGACACTGCCCGTTGGTCCTTTTCACTCGAGTGATAGTGGTTCGAGGTTTCTCTATTCAGCTTCGCAGGAACGCGATGCCGCAACGCCGCACCAAAGCTCTGCTACAACGCCGCGACGGTGGCCTACTGCAACGCTGGCCTGCTAAGACTGCATGAGTACTGTTCGGCGTGGCCTTCAAACCTGGCCGCACTCATTGGCTTTTGGTGTGCAGCACTGCCCGCCACGGTTTGCGTGCACTCTGAGTGGCGTAGGCGGTGCTCCTTCTCATGTTCCCCAGGCATATTCTCTCCTGGTCTCCTGGTGCGGCTCCTGCCGCCGGGCCTGTCTCACGCTTCGCCTTACCTGACGCACCCTGGCCCTCATTCTGACCGGGCCCTTGTGCGTTGGTTTTTGGGGGTCCAGAGATCTCCTATCAAACATCAATCTTCCTGGGTAAGTGTACTTCATGAATCTCATTTTCACCTTCTAGTCTCCCCAAGTGGAATCATGTTCGAATATCAGCGCTCTAAACACCAGCAGTTCATCCTTCATTCAGCATTCTCCTTTCCCTCTCACTGCACACTCTCAGTCTCTGGACATCAGCATCGCGGGTACTGCTGTCACTGCCTCATCTACATCGGCATTAAATACATGCTCTAAAATCCACTTCGAGTCACACTGCTCCACCCTCATAAGAAGATCCTTAAAGGAGTATTGGCAATGGTCCTTGTTCTGTAGTTTAGGTCCTGGACGACTAGCCTGTTTGTCCGTGGAGTGGATCCCTCTCTCATGTAGGGTCTTCCGAAGGTTTCTCACTTTTTTCCCCACGGGGTTTTGTGAGTTTTCCTTGCCATGCAGGAGGGTCTGGACAGTTAGTGTCCAACTAGAAGGCCCGTGGTGATGATCCAGGATACTTTAACATGCTACAACATGTATGGACATTTTATCAACATTCATAGACTATAATTACTCCTTAAACAATCCCTCGACGACCCCCTGGTCTGAACAAATTCAAAACCTCTGCTCCCTGCATGTAACCTCTCTTCCTTTCTCTACATCCGCCACTCCTTCCGGATAGGAGCAGCCACTTGGGCTGCTGCCCTGGGACTCCCTCAATCATCTCTCCAGGAGCTCGGTCCCCGGTTCTCTACCACATTCATCCGTTCTGGCAGCCCAGCGCCTCCTCTCATATAAGTACATATGCATCTCCTGGTGGTGGCAACTCCTCATTTCCAGCATGCCGCGCACTTGAGCCGAGCTCGTGCGCGTGCCAACGCCTAGCGCTAGAGCCTAGCTCGCGCACGGACATTACGCCGCGCACTCGAGCCGAGCTCGTGCGCGTGCCAACGCCTAGCGCTAGAGCCGAACTCGCGCACGGACATACGCCGCGCACTTGAGCCGAGCTCGTGCGCGTGCCAAGGCCTAGCGCTAGAGCCGAGCTCGCGCACGGAAACAGTCACTCACACCATGCGCCTTCCATAAACGCAGCAACCAAGCCATGGCAAACGCATCGCTAGCCAAGCTCTCTTTTTGGGGATCATGATCTGCCCCAGGCGCAGATCTCTTCAGAGCACGGCCACAGCCGGGGCCTAAGCTCCAAACCAATAAACAAACTCAATCCATAAAATAAACAACTCTTAAACGCATCTCGTCTCTTGTAGTCTCTCCAGGTTGAAATGGAGCAGTGAGCATCATCAGCCCTGAGTGACATTTGCCTTTCACTCCCCCACTCTTTATGTAGTGCTGTCATTTAAACACACACACACAGACACACACACACACGCACACGCACACACACGCACACGCACACACACACACACACACACACACACACAATGTGACGATCATCAAAAACAGACAGTGTCAGTGTGAGCCTAATGACGGGAGAACACGCTTCTCCAGCCCGCAGCGTTTGAACAACACATGTTGTTGTGTAGATGGGTCCCTGTGCTCTAATGCTACTTCCTGATTGGTCAGAAGAGTCCTCTCCCTCTGGTCCTCTCTTTCTGGTCCTCTCCCTCCGATCCTCTCTTTCTGGTCCTCTCTTTCTGGTCCTCTCTTTCTGGTCCTCTCCCTCTGGTCCTCTCCCTCTGGTCCTCTCCCTCTGGTCCTCTCCCTCTGGTCCTCCCCCTCTGGTCCTCTCTCTTTGGTCCTCTCTCACTGGTCCTCTCTCACTGGTCGTCTCCCTATGGTCCTCTCCTTCTGGTCCTCTCTCACTGGCTGGTCCTCTCTCACTGGCTGGTCCTCTCTCTCTGGTCCTCTCCCTGTGGTCCTCTTCCTCTGGTCCTCTCTCTCTGGTCCTCTCTCACTGGTCCTCTCCCTCTGTTCCTCTTCCTCTGGTCCTCTCTCTCTGGTCCTCTCTCTCTGGTCCTCTCCTCTGGTCCTCTCTCTCTGGTCCTCTCCTCTGGTCCTCTCTCTCTGGTCCTCTCTCTCTGGTCCTCTCCTCTGGTCCTCTCTCTCTGGTCTCTCTCTCACTGGTCCTCTCCCTCTGGTCCTCTCCTCTGGTCCTCTCCTCTGGTCCTCTCTCTCTGGTCCTCTCTCACAGGTCCTCTCCCTCTGTTCCTCTCCCTCTGGTCCTCTCCTTCTGGTCCTCCCCCTCTGGTCCTCCCCCTCTGGTCCTCTCTCTCTGTTCCTCTCTCACTGGTCCTCTCCTTCTGGTCCTCTCTCTCTGGTCCTCTCTCGCTGGCTGGTACTCTCTCTCTGTTCTTCTCCCTATGGTCCTCTCCTTCTGGTCCTCTCTCTCTGGTCCTCTCCCTCTGGTCCTCTCTCACTGGTCCTCTCCCTCTGTTCCTCTTCCTCTGGTCCTCTCTCTCTGGTCCTCTCCTCTGGTCCTCTCTCTCTGGTCCTCTCCTCTGGTCCTCTCTCTCTGGTCCTCTCCCTCTGGTCCTCTCTCACTGGTCCTCTCCCTCTGGTCCTCTCCTTCTGGTCCTCTCTCTCTGGTCCTCTCTCACTGGCTGGTCCTCTCTCTCTGGTCCTCTCCCTCTGTTCCTCTCTCACTGGTCCTCTCCTCTGGTCCTCTCTCTCTGATCCTCTCTCACTGGTCCTCTCCCTCTGGTCCTCTCTTTCTGGTCCTCTCTCTCTGGCCCTCTCCTTCTGGTCCTCTCCCTCTGGTCCTCTCCTTCTGGTCCGCTCTTTCTGGTCCTCTCTCTCTGGTCCTCTCTCTCTGGTCCTCTCTCACTGGCTGGTCCTCTCTCTCTGGTCCTCTCCCTCTGTTCCTCTCTCACTGGTCCTCTCCTCTGGTCCTCTCTCTCTGATCCTCTCTCACTGGTCCTCTCCCTCTGGTCCTCTCTTTCTGGTCCTCTCTCTCTGGCCCTCTCCTTCTGGTCCTCTCCCTCTGGTCCTCTCCTTCTGGTCCGCTCTTTCTGGTCCTCTCCTCTGGTCCTCTCTCACTGGTCCTCTCCCTCTGTTCCGCTCCCTCTGGTCCTCTCTTTCTGGTCCTCTCTCTCTGGTCCTCTCCTTCTGGTCCTCTCCCTCTGGTCCTCTTCCTCTGGTCCTCTCTCAATGGTCCTCTCCTCTGGTCCTCTCTCTCTGATCCTCTCTCACTGGTCCTCTCCCTCTGGTCCTCTATTTCTGGTCCTCTCTCTCTGGTCCTCTCCTTCTGGTCCTCTCTCTCTGGTCCTCTCCTTCTGGTCCTCTCCCTCTGGTCCTCTCCTTCTGGTCCTCTCTCTCTGGTCCTCTCCCTCTGGTCCTCTCCCTCTGTTCCTCTCCCTCTGGTCCTCTCCCTCTGGTCCTCTTCCTCTGGTCCTCTCTCAATGGTCATCTCCTCTGGTCCTCTCTCTCTGATCCTCTCTCACTGGTCCTCTCCCTCTGGTCCTCTATTTCTGGTCCTCTCTCTCTGGTCCTCTCCTTCTGGTCCTCTCTCTCTGGTCCTCTCCTTCTGGTCCTCTCCCTCTGGTCCTCTCCCTCTGGTCCTGTCTCTCTGGTCCTCTCTCTCTGGTCCTCTCCTTCTGGTCCTCTCCCTCTGGTCCTCTCCCTCTGGTCCTGTCTCTCTGGTCCTCTCCCTCTGTTCCTCTCCCTCTGGTCCTCTCTCGCTGGTCCTCTCCCTCTGGTCCTCTCTTTCTGGTCCTCTCTCTCTGGTCCTCTCCTTCTGGTCCTCTCTCTCTGGTCCTCTCCTTCTGGTCCTCTCCCTCTGGTCCTCTCCCTCTGTTCCTCTTCCTCTGGTCCTCTCTCTCTGGTCCTCTCTCTCTGGTCCTCTCCTCTGGTCCTCTCTCTCTGGTCCTCTCCTCTGGTCCTCTCTCTCTGGTCCTCTCTCTCTGGTCCTCTCCTCTGGTCCTCTCCTCTAGTCCTCTCTCTCTGGTCCTCTCTCACAGGTCCTCTCCCTCTGTTCCTCTCCCTCTGGTCCTCTCCTTCTGGTCCTCCCCCTCTGGTCCTCCCCCTCTGGTCCTCTCTCTCTGTTCCTCTCTCACTGGTCCTCTCCTTCTGGTCCTCTCTCTCTGGTCCTCTCTCGCTGGCTGGTACTCTCTCTCTGTTCCTCTCCCTATGGTCCTCTCCTTCTGGTCCTCTCTCTCTGGTCCTCTCTCACTGGCTGGTCCTCTCTCTCTGGTCCTCTCCCTCTGGTCCTCTCTCACTGGTCCTCTCCCTCTGGTCCTCTCCTCTGGTCCTCTCCCTCTGTTCCTCTCTCACTGGTCCTCTCCTTCTGGTCCTCTCCCTCTGGTCCTCTCCCTCTGGTCCTCTCTTTCTGGTCCTCTCTCTCTGGCCCTCTCCTTCTGGTCCTCTCCCTCTGGTCCTCTCCTTCTGGTCCGCTCTTTCTGGTCCTCTCTCTCTGGTCCTCTCTCTCTGGTCCTCTCTCACAGGTCCTCTCCCTCTGTTCCGCTCCCTCTGGTCCTCTCTTTCTGGTCCTCTCTCTCTGGTCCTCTCCTTCTGGTCCTCTCCCTCTGGTCCTCTTCCTCTGGTCCTCTCTCAATGGTCCTCTCCTCTGGTCCTCTCTCTCTGATCCTCTCTCACTGGTCCTCTCCCTCTGGTCCTCTATTTCTGGTCCTCTCTCTCTGGTCCTCTCCTTCTGGTCCTCTCTCTCTGGTCCTCTCCTTCTGGTCCTCTCCCTCTGGTCCTCTCCTTCTGGTCCTCTCTCTCTGGTCCTCTCCCTCTGGTCCTCTCCCTCTGGTCCTCTCCCTCTGGTCCTCTTCCTCTGGTCCTCTTCCTCTGGTCCTCTCTCAATGGTCCTCTCCTCTGGTCCTCTCTCTCTGATCCTCTCTCACTGGTCCTCTCCCTCTGGTCCTCTATTTCTGGTCCTCTCTCTCTGGTCCTCTCCTTGTGGTCCTCTCTCTCTGGTCCTCTCCTTCTGGTCCTCTCCCTCTGGTCCTCTCCCTCTGGTCCTGTCTCTCTGGTCCTCTCCCTCTGTTCCTCTCCCTCTGGTCCTCTCTCGCTGGTCCTCTCCCTCTGGTCCTCTCTTTCTGGTCCTCTCTCTCTGGTCCTCTCCTTCTGGTCCTCTCTCTCTGGTCCTCTCCTTCTGGTCCTCTCCCTCTGTTCCTCTCCCTCTGGTCCTCTCTCTCTGGTCCTCTCCCTCTGGTCCTCTCCTCTGGTCCTCTCTCGCTGGTCCTCTCCTCTGGTCCTCTCTCTCTGGTCCTCTCTTTCTGGTCCTCTCCCTCTGGTCCTCTCCCTCTGGTCCTCTCCCTCTGGTCCTCTCTCTTTGGTCCTCTCTCACTGGTCCTCTCTCTCTGGTCCTCTCCCTCTGCTCCTGTCTCTCTGGTCCTGTCTCTCTGGTCCTGTCTCTCTGGTCCTGTCTCTCTGGTCCTCTCCCTCTGTTCCTCTCCCTCTGGTCCTCTCTTTCTGGTCCTCTCTCTCAGGTCCTCTCCTTCTGGTCCTCTCTCTCTGGTCCTCTCCGTCTGGTCCTCTCTCCCTGGTCCTCTCTCCCTGGTCCTCTCTCTCTGGATCTCTCTCTCTGGTCCTCTCCCTCTGTTCCACCTCCCTCCGGTCCTCTCCTTCTGGTCCTCTCCCTCTGGTCCTCTCTCTCTGATCCTCTCCCTCTGGTCCTCTCCCTTTGGTCCTCTCTCACTGGTCCTCTCCTCTGGTCCTCTCTCTCTGGTCCTCTCTCACTGGTCCTCTCCCTCTGGTCCTCTCTCTCTGGTCCTCTCTCTCTGGTCCTCTCCTCTGGTCCTCTCTCCCTGGTCCTCTCTCCCTGGTCCTCTCTCTCTGGTCCTCTCCCCCTGGTCCTGTCTCTCTGGTCCTCTCTCTCTGGTCCTCTCCCTCTGGTCCTCTCTCTCTGGTCCTCTCCTTCTGGTCTTGTCTCTCTGGTCCTGTCTCTCTGGTTCTCTCTCTCTGGTCCTCTCCCTCTGGTCCTCTCCCTCTGGTCCTCTTCCTCTGGTCCTCTCCCTCTGGTCCTCTCCTTCTGGTCCTCTCTCACTGGTCCTCTCCCTCTGGTCCTCTCTCTCTGGTCCTCTCTCTCTGGTCCTCTCCCTCTGGTCCTCTCTCTCTGGTCCTCTCTCTCTGGTCCTCTCCCTCTGGTCCTCTCTCTCTGGTCCTCTCTCTCTGGTCCTCTCTCTCTGGTCCTCTCTCTCTTGTCCTCTCCCTCTGGTCCTCTCCCTCTGGTCCTCTCCCTCTGGTCCTCTCCCTCTGGTCCTCTCCCTCTGGTCCTCTTCCTCTGGTCCTCTCCCTCTGGTCCTCTCCTTCTGGTCCTCTCTCACTGGTGTCCGTTGCTGGTCTCTGTTGCAGATTGCAGAGACGTTTGCGTTCTTGCCTCGTGAGGCTGTGACTCGGTTCCTCATGAGCTGCACCGAGTGTCAGAAGAGGATGCACCAGAAAGGTACGAGTACTACAGGTACGGGTACTACAGGTACGGGTACTACAGGTACGAGTACTACAGGTACGAGGACTACAGGTACGAGGACTACAGGTACGAGGACTACAGGTACGAGGACTACAGGTACGAGTACTACAGGTACGAGGACTACAGGTACGAAGACTACAGGTACGAGGACTACAGGTACGGGTACTACAGGTACAGGGACTATAGGGACTACAGGTACGAGTACTACAGGTACGGGTACTACAGGTACAGGGACTATAGGGACAACAGGTACGAGTAATACAGGTACAGGGACTACAGGTACGAGTATTATAGGTCTCTCTCTCTGGTCTCTCTTTGGTCTCTCTCTGGTCTCTCTCTCTGGTCTCTCTCTCTGGTCTCTCTCTCTGGTCTCTCTCTCTGGTCTCTCTCTCTGGTCTCTCTCTCTGGTCTCTCTTTGGTCTCTCTCTGGTCTCTCTCTGGTCTCTCTGGTCTGGTCTCTCTCTCTGGTCTCTCTTTCTGGTCTCTCTCTGGTCTCTCTCTGGTCTCTCTGGTCTCTCTCTGGTCTCTCTCTGGTCTCTCTGGTCTCTCTCTGGTCTCTCTGGTTTCTCTCTGGTCTCCAGCCCAAAGTAAAGAGCAGCCAAACTTCGGCCTTGTGCACTTCCCTATTTGACATGTAGCTCTGTCTCTCCTCTCCTCTCCTCTCCTCTCCTCTCCTCTCCCCTCCTCTCGAGAGACCAGAGAGAGAGACCAGAGAGAGACCAGAGAGAGACCAGAGTGAGAGACCAGAGAGAGACCAGAGAGAGAGAGACCAGAGAGAGACCAGAGAGAGACCAGAGAGACCAGAGAGAGACCAGAGAGAGAGACCAGAGAGAGACCAGAGAGAGAGACCAGAGAGAGACCAGAGAGAGACCAGAGAGAGACCAGAGAGAGAGAGACCAGAGAGAGACCAGAGAGAGACCAGAGAGAGACCAGAGTGAGAGACCAGAGAGAGACCAGAGAGAGAGAGACCAGAGAGAGACCAGAGAGAGAGAGACCAGAGAGACCAGAGAGAGACCAGAGAGAGAGACCAGAGAGAGACCAGAGAGAGAGACCAGAGAGAGAGACCAGAGAGAGACCAGAGAGAGAGACCAGAGAGAGACCAGAGAGAGACCAGAGAGAGAGACCAGAGAGAGACCAGAGAGAGACCAGAGAGAGACCAGAGAGAGACCAGAGAGAGAGACCAGAGTGAGACCAGAGAGAGAGACCAGAGAGAGAGACCAGAGAGAGAGACCAGAGAGAGACCAGAGAGAGAGACCAGAGAGAGACCAGAGAGAGACCAGAGAGAGACCAGAGAGAGAGACCAGAGAGAGACCAGAGAGAGAGACCAGAGAGAGACCAGAGAGAGACCAGAGAGAGAGACCAGAGAGAGACCAGAGTGAAAGACCAGAGAGAGACCAGAGAGAGAGAGACCAGAGAGAGACCAGAGAGAGAGACCAGAGAGAGACCAGAGAGAGAGACCAGAGAGAGACCAGAGAGAGAGACCAGAGAGAGACCAGAGAGAGACCAGAGAGAGACCAGAGAGAGAGACCAGAGAGAGACCAGAGAGAGACCAGAGAGAGAGACCAGAGAGAGAGACCAGAGAGAGACCAGAGAGACCAGAGAGAGAGACCTGAGAGAGACCAGAGAGAGACCAGAGACCAGAGAGAGAGACCAGAGTGAGAGACCAGAGAGAGACCAGAGAGAGACCAGAGAGAGACCAGAGAGAGAGACCAGAGAGACCAGAGAGAGACCAGAGAGACCAGAGAGAGAGACCTGAGAGAGACCAGAGAGAGACCAGAGAGAGACCAGAGTGAGACCAGAGAGAGAGAGACCAGAGAGAGACCAGAGAGAGACCAGAGAGAGACCAGAGAGAGACCAGAGAGAGAGACCAGAGACCAGAGAGAGAGACCAGAGTGAGAGACCAGAGAGAGACCAGAGAGAGACCAGAGAGAGAGACCAGAGAGACCAGAGAGAGACCAGAGAGACCAGAGAGAGAGACCTGAGAGAGACCAGAGAGAGACCAGAGAGAGACCAGAGTGAGACCAGAGAGAGAGAGACCAGAGAGAGACCAGAGAGAGACCAGAGAGAGACCAGAGAGAGGCCAGAGAGAGACCAGAGAGAGACCAGAGAGAGACCAGAGAGAGACCAGAGAGACCAGAGAGAGAGACCTGAGAGAGACCAGAGAGAGACCAGAGAGAGACCAGAGAGAGACCAGAGAGAGACCAGAGAGACCAGAAAGAGAGACCTGAGAGAGACCAGAGAGAGACCAGAGAGAGACCAGAGAGAGACCAGAGAGAGACCAGAGAGACCAGAGAGAGACCTGAGAGAGACCAGAGAGAGACCAGAGAGAGACCTGAGAGAGACCAGAGAGAGACCAGAGAGAGACCAGAGAGAGACCAGAGAGAGACCAGAGAGAGACAAGAGAGAGAGACCAGAGAGAGACCAGAGAGAGACCAGAGAGAGAGACCAGAGAGAGACCAGAGAGAGACCAGAGAGAGACCAGAGAGACCAGAGAGAGACCAGAGAGACCAGAGAGAGACCAGAGAGAGACCAGAGAGAGAGACCAGAGAGAGACCAGAGATGATTTGAACACAAAGAACAGGTTTATAAATGAGCACGGCTTATATCACATGTGGTGTCTTTTTCATAAACCTGATCTTGAAACTTTGTACTTTGGTTTTTGCTTCTCCCTAAATCACAACAGTAGACGTCTCAGATGACGATTCACCAACACAGACCAGAGAATCAAACACAGAAATGACTGAGGCTGTAGACCCAGGACTGAGGCTGCAGACCCAGGACTGAGGCTGTAGACCCAGGACTGAGGCTGTAGACCCAGGACTGAGGCTGCAGACCCAGGACTGAGCTGAGCTGTGTAGACCCAGGACTGAGGCTGCAGACCCAGGACTGAGGCTGAGACCCAGGACTGAGGCTGTAGACCCAGGACTGAGGCTGTAGACCCAGGACTGAGGCTGCAGACCCAGGACTGAGGCTGTAGACCCAGGACTGAGGCGTAGACCCAGGACTGAGGCTGTAGACCCAGGACTGAGGCCGTAGACCCAGGACTGAGGCTGTAGACCCAGGACTGAGGCTGTAGACCCAGGACTGAGGCTGTAGACCCAGGACTGAGGCTGTAGACAGGACTGAGGCTGTAGACCCAGGACTGAGGCTGTAGACCCAGGACTGAGGCTGTAGACCCAGGACTGAGGCTGTAGACCCAGGACTGAGGCTGTAGACCCAGGACTGAGATTGTAGACCCAGGACTGAGGCTGTAGACCCAGGACTGAGGCTGTAGACCCAGGACTGAGGCTGTAGAGACCAGACAGATACTTTATCTTCCCCAAAGGAGAAATGCAGGTGTTCAGCAGCAGAAACACAAACAAACACAAATGAAATGACTAACAACAGCAGTAATAGTACGACAACAGCACTTGTGATGTCACATCTGTGATGTCACATCTCTCTCTAAAGTCACTGTTTCCACAGAAGACTGTCCCTAAATGTGCCTGAAATAAGGTGACAGTGTTTAGTATTCACGTCTGACTGCGGTGGCATCATCTCAGACTGCTGCTGACTCAGCCACTTCTGTCCCATGTGGAGATGGACAATGCTAACGCTAGCTCAAGGAAGCCCAATAAGGAAGTGCTCATAGACAAAGTTTTGCTCCAACTCGCTCTGGCTCCTGTTGACATGTCATAGTTAACTCTACAACAGTTTTAATTGATTCTGTTTATTATTATGCAGGTTATGATTGTATTATAAGGACTGCTTGTGGAAAGGAGCAGGAGCTAAATCTGGTGCAGCATCTTTTTAGTGCAACTACACAGAGTTCTCAATAAATCAAACTTCAAGCTTCAGTGTTTTTAGTTCAATGTTGTCCTTGTAAATCCAGATATGAGCTAAAATGATTGACCAATCAGATGCCTTCATTTGTCGGGGTAAACTCACAGTCTTACCCCGACTGCTAACTCTAAAACTCAATGAATCAGGAAGTGCTCAGGTACTAAGTGTTTCTCCAACTTTTGCTTTTTTTACTGCGCACAAATGTGTTAGTTTCAGATCTGCACACGCTACATCCAATGATAACAACACTGACTGTAAAAAGTTAGAATACTGACCTGGACTAGTACCAACCAGATGGACACTGCCACAGCCACAGTCTGGAGAGGTCGAGTTAAAGGAGACATTTCTAAAGTGTTTTCTCATTTTCTGGGACAGACATTTGTACTGATGCTGCTAGAGCCGAAATGAAGATCACAGTTTAATGGTGGGAAAGAGAAAAGAACTCAAAACACAGGACACAAGTGGTTTAATAAAAGCAAATAACAAGACAACATCCAGGGTAAGTTTACAAAAAGTAACCAAACAGACATGGCTTTGACAAAGACGGAACAGGTGTGAAGGAAACACAGGGTTTTAACACACAGGAGACACAGGAGCCAAACAGCAGGAAGTCAGACTGAGGAAGACCCAGGAAACAGTTACAAAACAGAGCTAAACCCTTCTGAAACAAGTAAATATTCCCAAGATCAATGTTTAAAAGCCAAAACCATGATGTATAACTCAGATGATAAGGACTTCCTGACTGCTGTTATCTTAAACTTTACCTCCTCTCTCTGTCCTTCTGCTGCAGGTTCTACGACGTCCCCAGCCTGACCTACTCGGACCCTCTGAGCCTGGTGAGTCTGGGCCACGACGACCGCGACCTGTCGTACTGGAGGAGGCGAGGCCAGGACTTCAGCCTGCTCTTGGACTACGCAGACGGGAGAGAGCTTAGGGCCTCTACCACCGCGTGGAGACCCCAAGCACTTCTGACTGCGGAGGAGCTGAGAGCGGAGAGACAGGCCCAGCAGCTGTGGGAGGACCTCTCCTGGCTACGGGACCCCGACTCTGCCCCGGGACAACTGAGGGTCACGGAGGAGGAGCGCAAATGCCAGAGTCTGGGCAACGAGGAGTGGAGGCCGTCCGTGAGCTTGGGCAGGTCTGAGAGCGAAGACAGGTGGGCACTGGACCCGTACAGACTAAGGACCCCCGATGGCTTCTTTCACACAAAATCGAGAGCAAAGTCCCAGACCCTGCCCCGGGTTCTTTCACCAGAGGGAAACACGTGTCGGGAGCTGGTTCCCTCCAGGCCGAGCTTACCCGACAGACAGAGGATGAGCAGTACTGTGTTCTCTGGGCCTTACAGCAGGTACGTCTACGGCGCTGGCAGAGAGAGATGGGCACGGAGCTCGGGACCATCCAGCCATGTTGCACTTTTACCAAAGCCCAGGTTCAGTCGGCCCCTAAAGCCTCCATCTTACGAGATACACCAGCAGACGAGGGGTAGCGCAGAGATGCTAGCTCTAGAGCAGGGAGCGAAACAAAAAGACAGGCTAGCATACTATTCGCGAAGCGGGGATTTCAGGCAAGATTATTACGCACAGCAAGCTGCCATAACAGGAATGGAGCCACCGGGCTACATTCCACCCCCTTCTTATAAGAGACCTCTACCCCCACGAGCTGTTTCCATGAATCGTCATGAAATGGCCAATTTAAGATGGAGGGCGGACACTTTGCAGATGCCTAACTCAGATCCAGGAAGGTGGTTGACCAGACAGACGCGTTCTTGGGTTGGATATTATGCCGACCGTGCGTCTAGCTACCGCAGACAGATATCCATACCGCCACGAACTGAGGAACCGGTCCATCACCAACGTCAATTAGTTCCAATAAATGATCAGCCACGTCAGTTAGTTTCTATCACTGACCCTCAACAGCAGCTGGTCCCGGTACCAGACCCCCAACGCCAACTCGTTCCCATAAATGACCACCAAAAACAGCTGGTCCCGGTGTCCGAGCCCCAACGTCAGCTCGTCCCAGTGACTGATCAACGACAACTAGTTCCCGTTATGGACCAACAACGCCAATTCCAACCAATAACGTGCGGCGAAGACCCAAAACCTAAACCTATCTCAGGAGGGCCAAGCGGAAGTGTGCTGACGGACTGTGAGAGAGCTGTCAGAAGTGCCACCACCATCAAAGATCTCCCGTCCGGGAAATCGTTAGGACAATCTACTCTTGATAGTGCCTTTCCTCCCCAGCAGGTGCCAGCTGTTATTCCTGTCGAAAGCCGGAAAACTGCTACTACTGAGACTGAAAGTTGCATCTTAAACAGATCTTTTGTAAGGGGAATGAGAAAAAGTGAGAGTGCAGGTCCTGAACAAAATCGTAGCCAATTTTTTCCATCGTCCATTTTGGGTAAACCACCACCTCCTCCAGTGAAGCCTCCAGTCGAGCAGGTCATTGCAGAAACTCTGATGGAACTGAAGAAAGTAGAACTTCCTGAACCTTTGGTGCCAGAAAAACCAGAAAAAGAAAAAACAAAGAATTTGAAAAAAAGACTTAGCGAGACCATTTTCTGTTTGGTGTCTGTCCCTGTCACGCCGGTGCCAACAATGACCATTCGGGACCAAAACAATAATAATGAAAAGTCGCCCGATCCGGCCGATAGCCCCACGAATAACAAAACAGGTCATTTGACAAACCAAAGTCTCCAAAGCACATCGTCAGCAGAGGCAGAGCTGCAAGCCTTGACCGCAAGTTTCGCAAGCAGCAAAACAAGCAGCAGATCGAGCAGTAAAATGTTTAAAAAGGTTTCATGTCGACCACCAAAAATCAACCATTACAAAGAGTTGAAGTTATCAGGGGTGTGGCCAGCCAATCAGTACAGAGATCAGGAAACTCAGACCAGTCCTGAGGCGGAAAAACCGGAAAACAAGGAAGCACAAGCTGACGGGAGCAGTGAAGGAGGCGGAGTGGACCACAACGCAGTGGGGACAGCCTTTACTTTTCCAATGAAAGGAGTCAAAAACTTAAAACTGTCGAGTAACAGCGCCTTTTCGATAACCGCAACGTTTTCCAACCAGATCAGCCAGGGTACTGCCTCAGGGAACGTGGAAGAACCAGAAGCAGAGGAAGAGGACAGCGAGAAAGAGGCGTTTGACCCGTTTATTATCAAACCTGCCAGTCAACGCGCCTGGGATGCTGTGAAAGAATTGGAAGCGATAAAAAAAGAAGTTGAAGAACAAGAACAACAGCAGCAGCAACAGCCACAAACCAGCAAACAACCCAGCGTGGACAAGTGCATAGAGGACTTAAACGAGGCCTACAAGGATATCTTAGAGCTAGGAACTGCCGGGAACAAGGTGCCAAATGGTTCTGTCCAAATCCCTGAACGCATAAAGATTCGCCTCACGTCAGAACCGCTAAACAAACCGAGTAGCTTGCGACGTAGCGCAGTTAGCTGGTCCGTCGATCCCGAGTACAGAGAAGTCAAAAGTGCTTTTTCAAGACCGGCAACAAAATCGGTGACTTTTAGCAAGCAGCTGAGAGAAGAGCTGCCCGTACCTCCAAGAGAAACGGGATTCAGAGAATACAGGGTAGTGGCACATCTGTCCAGAAGAAGAAGCAACGACGGTCGAACGGTGAAGCTAGATCTGTCAGACGAGCCGGTAGAAACGCCTCTGTGTGATTTCAGCCCGACTACACTGAGTGCTTCTGCGGAGGTCCCGTGGGCGGACAGGCAACCGATGCAAGACGCTTCTACGCTAACGAGCCCTCCCGATTACGAAGATATTTGCCAGACCTTGAGGCAAACCAGAGACCCATCGGACGCTAGCGGAACAAGATCGAACGACGAAATGACGCAAGATTCTGAAGAGGAGTGCCCCATTTGTAAGAGAGAGATGGAAAACCAAATGAGGCAAGGTCCGCTGCCTCCGCTTCACGAAGAGAACAGTTCAGATAGTTCCACGAATCAAAACGCAAGTCCTCCTCAACGAGCGGAATTGGAAAGTCCACCAGAGGAAGTAGAAGCAAAGGAAGTCAGTGGAACGGATGTGACAGGATCAGGAAGAGAGGTTAAAAGAGAGGATTTAGCCAGTGGAAGTAACCTGAGTGATCCTAAAGACCTCCAGGGTCAAGACGGACGCTCAAGTGAAATAGGTGTAAATACAGACGGAGAAAGTCAAACAGAAGAGATTAAAAACAGCGAGATAACAACTAATGATGTGCCTAAAGACGGACAGAACGATGGTAGTAACGAGGAGGGACCAGAACAACCAGGTGAGGGTTGTTCTAACGTGGGAGATGTTTCGGAAAGCAGAGTAGGAGAGGAGAAAGTCAGTGAGATTAACCTGAACCATGAATGTAAAGACGAACAAGCGAAAGTTGAGGAGCAAGACAAGAAGCCATTACTTTCCCCAGAGCATAGACTGAGTTTATGGACTCAGTTGGGACGCGATCCTGCAGGGTTACCCGAGTTCCCCCCGGATCGGCTGCCTCTCTCCGTGCCCCCAACTCTGGACCGCAGGCTGTCCTTGAGTCTGGAAGGGGAACGGAAGAGCAGAGGACTCTCCCATCGAATCGAAGCCCTGCAGAACAAACTGGCCATTTCTCCGGGGCGAGTGGCGGTGGAACGTATTTCTCGCATGAGGGAAGTGGACGTTATTTGCAGGGTTCGCAGACTGAGCATCAGGAGTACAGACTCTGGGGAGGGGGACAATGACACCGAGAGTAAAAAGGAGGAAGTAGAAGATCCTCCGGAGCCGACGGAGAAGGACGACGAAGACACGAGACAGGAGCAGGTCGGCCAATCACAGACAGACCCCGAAGAGACGGGAGCGAGGGAGGCGGAGCCATCTCCATCAGGTGAACTTACACTTTTATGTCTTGAAATTAAAACTATACCTCAGCTCTAGCCTCAGCTCTAGCCTCAGGTCTAGCCTCAGCTCTAGCCTCAGCTCTAGCCTCAGGTCTAGCCTCAGCTCTAGCCTCAGCTCTAGCCTCAGCTCTAGCCTCAGCTCTAGCCTCAGCTCTAGCCTCAGGTCTAGCCTCAGCTCTAGCCTCAGCTCTAGCCTCAGCTTTAGCCTCAGCTCTAGCCCCACCTCTAGCCCCAGCTCTAGCCTCAGCTCTAGCCCCAGCTCTAGCCTCAGCTCTAGCCTCAGCTCTAGCCTCAGCTTTAGCCTCAGCTCTAGCCCCACCTCTAGCCCCAGCTCTAGCCTCAGCTCTAGCCCCAGCTCTAGCCTCAGCTCTAGCCCCAGCTCTAGCCTCAGCTCTAGCCTCAGCTCTAGCCTCAGCTCTAGCCTCAGCTCTAGCCTCAGCTCTAGCCCCAGCTCTAGCCTCAGCTTTAGCCTCAGCTCTAGCCCCACCTCTAGCCCCAGCTCTAGCCTCAGCTCTAGCCCCAGCTCTAGCCTCAGCTCTAGCCCCAGCTCTAGCCTCAGCTCTAGCCCCAGCTCTCTAGCCTCAGCTCTAGCCTCAGCTCTAGCCTCAGCTCTAGCCTCAGCTCTAGCCTCAGCTCTAGCCTCAGCTCTAGCCTCAGCTCTAGCCTCAGCTTTAGCTCTAGCCTCAGCTCTAGCCTCAGCTCTAGCCTCATCTCTAGCCTCAGCTCTAGCCTCAGCTTTAGCCCCAGCTCTAGCTTCAGCTCTAGCCTCAGCTCTAGCCTCATCTCTAGCCCAGCTCTAGCCTCAGCTCTAGCCTCAGCTCTAGCCTCAGCTCTAGCCTCAGCTCTAGCCCCAGCTCTAGCCTCAGCTCTAGCCTCATCTCTAGCCTCAGCTTTAGCTCTAGCCTCAGCTCTAGCCTCAGCTCTAGCCTCAGCTCTAGCCTCAGCTCTAGCCTCAGCTCTAGCCCCAGCTCTAGCCTCAGCTCTAGCCTCAGCTCTAGCCTCAGCTTTAGCTCTAGCCTCAGCTCTAGCCTCAGCTCTAGCCTCAGCTCTAGCCTCATCTCTAGCCTCAGCTCTAGCCTCAGCTTTAGCCCCAGCTCTAGCTTCAGCTCTAGCCTCAGCTCTAGCCTCATCTCTAGCCTCAGCTCTAGCCTCAGGTCTAGCCTCAGCTCTAGCCTCAGCTCTTGGCTCAGCTCTAGCCCCAGCTCTAGCCTCAGCTCTAGCCTCAGCTCTAGCCTCAGCTCTAGCCTCAGCTCTAGCCCCAGCTCTAGCCTCAGCTCTAGCCTCAGCTCTAGCCCCAGCTCTAGCCTCAGCTCTAGCCTCAGCTCTAGCCCCAGCTCTAGCCTCAGCTCTAGCCCCAGCTCTAGCCTCAGCTCTAGCCTCAGCTCTAGCCTCAGCTCTAGCCTCAGCTCTAGCCTCAGCTCTAGCCTCAGCTCTAGCCTCAGCTCTAGCCTCAGCTCTAGCCTCAGCTCTAGGCTCAGCTCTAGCCCCAGCTCTAGCCTCAGCTCTAGCCTCAGCTCTAGCCTCAGCTCTAGCCTCAGCTCTAGCCTCAGCTTTAGCTCTAGCCTCAGCTCTAGCCTCAGGTCTAGCCTCAGCTCTAGCCTCATCTCTAGCCCCAGCTCTAGCCTCAGCTCTAGCCCCAGCTCTAGCCTCAGCTCTAGCCTCAGCTCTAGCCTCAGCTCTAGCCCCAGCTCTAGCCTCAGCTCTAGCCTCAGCTCTAGCCTCAGCTCTTGGCTCAGCTCTAGCTTCAGCTCTAGCCTCAGCTCTAGCCTCATCTCTAGCCTCAGCTCTAGCCTCAGCTCTAGCCCCAGCTCTAGCCTCAGCTCTAGCCTCAGCTCTAGCCTCAGCTCTAGCCTCAGCTCTAGCCCCAGCTCTAGCCCAGCTCTAGCCTCAGCTCTAGCCTCAGCTCTAGCCTCAGCTCTAGCCTCAGCTCTAGCCTCAGGTCTAGCCTCAGCTCTAGCCTCAGCTCTAGCCTCAGCTCTAGGCTCAGCTCTAGCCCCAGCTCTAGCCTCAGCTCTAGCCTCATCTCTAGCCTCAGCTCTAGCCTCAGCTTTAGCTCTAGCCTCAGCTCTAGCCTCAGGTCTAGCCTCAGCTCTAGCCTCATCTCTAGCCTCAGCTCTAGCCTCAGCTTTAGCCCCAGCTCTAGCTTCAGCTCTAGCCTCAGCTCTAGCCTCATCTCTAGCCTCAGCTCTAGCCTCAGCTCTAGCCCCAGCTCTAGCCTCAGCTCTAGCCTCAGCTCTAGCCCCAGCTCTAGCCTCAGCTCTAGCCTCAGCTCTAGCCTCAGCTCTTGGCTCAGCTCTAGCCCCAGCTCTAGCCTCAGCTCTAGCCTCAGCTCTAGCCTCAGCTCTAGCCTCAGCTCTAGCCCCAGCTCTAGCCTCAGCTCTAGCCTCAGCTTTAGCCCCAGCTCTAGCCTCAGCTCTAGCCCCAGCTCTAGCCTCAGCTCTAGCCTCAGCTCTAGCCTCAGCTCTAGCCCCAGCTCTAGCCTCAGCTCTAGCCTCAGCTCTAGCCTCAGCTCTAGCCCCAGCTCTAGCCTCAGCTCTAGCCTCAGCTCTAGCCTCAGCTCTAGCCCCAGCTCTAGCCTCAGGTCTAGCCCCAGCTCCAGCCTCATCTCTAGCCTCAGCTCTAGCCTCAGCTCTAGCCTCAGCTCTAGCCTCAGCTCTAGCCCCAGCTCTAGCCCCAGCTCTAGCCTCAGCTCTAGCCCCAGCTCTAGCCTCAGCTCTAGCCTCAGCTCTAGCCTCAGCTCTAGCCTCAGCTCTAGCCCCAGCTCTAGCCTCAGCTCTAGCCCCAGCTCTAGCCTCAGCTCTAGCCCCAGCTCTAGCCTCAGCTCTAGCCTCAGCTCTAGCCTCAGCTCTAGCCCCAGCTCTAGCCCCAGCTCTAGCCTCAGCTCTAGCCTCAGCTCTAGCCTCAGCTCTAGCCTCAGCTCTTGGCTCAGCTCTAGCCCCAGCTCTAGCCTCAGCTCTAGCCTCAGCTCTAGCCTCAGCTCTAGCCTCAGCTCTAGCCCCAGGTCTAGCCTCAGCTCTAGCCTCAGCTCTAGCCTCAGCTCTAGCCTCAGCTCTAGCCCCAGCTCTAGCCTCAGCTCTAGCCTCAGCTCTAGCCTCAGCTCTTGGCTCAGCTCTAGCCCCAGGTCTAGCCTCAGCTCTAGCCTCAGCTCTAGCCTCAGCTCTAGCCCCAGCTCTAGCCCCAGCTCTAGCCTCAGCTCTAGCCTCAGCTCTAGCCTCATCTCTAGCCTCAGCTCTAGCCTCAGCTCTAGCCTCAGCTCTTGGCTCAGCTCTAGCCTCAGCTCTAGCCTCAGCTCTAGCCTCAGCTCTAGCCTCAGCTCTAGCCTCAGCTCTAGCCTCAGCTCTTGCCTCAGCTCTAGCCTCAGCTCTAGCCCCAGCTCTAGCCTCAGCTCTAGCCTCAGCTCTTGCCTCAGCTCAGGTGGTGGTCAGAGGGGCCGGGCCGCCAACAGAGTGTCCCAGGGCAGCTGTGGCCAAAGCAGTAAGTGTCCGTCACAGTTTATGGAGTGATGGAATAATGTCGTGGATTATGGACCTCACAAGAAATGTTCCTATAGATCTGATCCTCTGTGTGTGTGTGTCTGTGTGTGTGTGTGTGTGTGTGTGTCTGTGTGTGTGTCTGTGTGTGTGTGTGTGTGTGTGTGTGTGTGTGTGTGTGTGTGTGTCTGTGTCTCTGTGTGTGTGTGTGTGTGTGTGTGTGTGTGTCTCTGTGTCTGTGTGTGTGTGTGTGTGTGTGTGTGTGTGTGTGTGTGTGTGTGTGTGTGTGTGTGTGTGTGTGTGTGTCTGTGTGTGTGTGTGTGTGTGTGTCTGTGTGTGTGTGTGTCTCTGTGTGTGTGTGTGTGTGTGTGTGTGTGTGTGTGTGTGTGTGTGTGTGTGTGTGTGTGTGTGTGTGTCTGTGTGTGTGTGTGTGTGTGTGTGTGTGTCTGTGTGTGTGTGTGTGTGTGCAGATCCAGAGCAGCAGGACAGAGGCTCCTGAGTCTTCATCTCCACTGATGCCTTTGTCCGACAGAGCATTGTGTAATCTCACCTCCATCCTCCGCCGCCGACTGCTGTCCACTGCCAACGGGAGCAACCAGGGCCCCCCCCCCTAACCCCCCCGCCCCCCCCATCACCCCCCCGCCCCCTCCTCACCCCCCCACACCCCCCCATCTCCCTGATCACTCCAGGCTTCACCCACTCACTGCGAACTCAGAACGACGTGGATTCAGATTTTTGAGTTCAGTCAGATGTGTTTTGTTTTTGTTCTTTTTATTCAATCTTTATTTAACCAGAAAAGTACCATTGAGATTAAGAACCTCTTTTTCAAGGGAGTCCTGGACAAAAGTTACACACAGAGACTAATAAAGGTTTATCTTAGATAGTTACAGACAATTACAGACAATTACAGACAATTACAGATTATAAAAACAGTTACATACAATTGTGTAAAATTACAAATTATAAAAACAATGAGGACGTCTGGATCTAAAAGCATGTTTTTAAAGGAGATGGAAGAGTTCTCCACTAGGGGGCGCTAGCTGCGATGGGAGTCCAGTGTCCGCATCCTGTCCAGTTCTGTTTCAATTTTATTAAATTTTATTCTTGTATCGCCCTAAATCACAACAGTAGATACTTTACAGAGCTGCCGATTCTCCAACACAGATCATGCATAGAACCAAAGTTACGATAACAGTTACTTAAAACAATAGAACAGATGGACGTGAGGAGGAGACACAGCACAAGCAGCTAGCGCCCCCTGGTGGTGGACTCTGCAGCGACACATCTGCTGCAGACTCATTACTATCTCTCTGGTACTTTACTATGGTTTACTTACTGCCATTGTGCAGTAAAACCAGTCTCAGAGGACTTTACGATTCACCAACAACAGATCAGAGAGTCAATGATAACAAACACATAGGAGCCATTTATGACCACGGTCCACAAAAGTTTGTACACGTCCAGGATGTGACCGAGGAGCCAGCTCTGAACTGTCCTCAGAGACAACCAGCTCTGAACTGTCCTCAGAGACAACCAGCTCTGAACTGTCCTCAGAGACAACCAGCTCTGAACTGTCCTCAGAGACAACCAGCTCTGAACTGTCCTCAGAGACAACCAGCTCTGAACTGTCCTCAGAGACAACCAGCTCTGAACTGTCCTCAGAGACAACCAGCTCTGAACTGTCCTCAGAGACAACCAGCTCTGAACTGTCCTCAGAGACAACCAGCTCTGAACTGTCCTCAGAGACAACCAGCTCTGAACTGTCCTCAGAGACAACCAGCTCTGAACTGTCCTCAGAGACAACCAGGAAGATCAGGAGGAGCTCTGATCATCTGTTTCTCTCCTGAACAAACCAACCTTTGATCTGAGTCCAGGCCGTTCTCTGTCTCTGCAGCGTTACATTATTATGGCCCCCCCCCTCCCCCCCCTCCCCCCCCCCCCCCTCCCCCTGCGTCCCCCCCCCCTCCCCCCTGCGTCCCCCCCCCCCTCCCCCCTGCGTCCCCCATTGACAGACATTATGCAATCCTGTCGTGTAAACTACAACACTATCCACAGACGTCATGGTTTTGCCTCGGACTCCTGTTTTTGGGCGAGCTGTTATTTAAGGATATGAATGTAATGTGTGATGATGAAAACGACCTTAGACACAGAACGTTTAGGGTTCAAACCTCTTCATTTATTTGCACCAAATTAACTTTCTTTGATTGTGGTCGAATGGCGACAGCTGTTTAAAAAGACTGGAAAACACTGTCTCTGGCTCAAGAACTGTTTTGGTTTTCATTGAGCAGCCTTTCTTTTCTAAGCTTTACTGACATTGTGCCCTGACTGGGGACGCCCACGCCCACCGGCCCCAAGGCCACGCCCACCGGCCCCAAGGCCACGCCCACCGGCCCCAAGACCACGCCCACCGGCCCCACCGTCCCACCGGCCCCAAGGCCACCCGGCCCAGCCACGCCCACCGGCCCCAAGACCACGCCTACCGGCCCCAAGGCCACGCCCACCGGCCCCAAGACCACGCCCACCGGCCCCAAGGCCAGTCCCACCGGCCCCAAGACCACGCCCACCGGCCCCAAGACCACGCCCACCGGCCCCAAGACCAGTCCCACCGGCCCCAAGACCAGTCCCACCGGCCCCAAGACCAGTCCCACCGGCCCCAAGACCAGTCCCACCGGCCCCAAGACCAGTCCCACCGGCCCCCAGGACCAATCCCATCAGTCCAGGACCAGTCCAGGACCTGCCTTAAACGCTCTGGTCTGTCGTTACAGACGGTTGTAGCTGTGACCTTCCAAAGGGACAACGCTGCGACACAAAATGCATCACAATATTCTCATTAATGTAAAAATGTCAAAATAAGTCGTAGAAGCCGTGGACCTTCTCTCCGTGAAAGAGACCCAAGAGAAGGAAACACAATCTCGACCTGGACCAAAACCTTTCTCAGTGATGTCACATGTTTCTCCTCCGTGGGACAGAATTCGGTTTAAAGTGTGGCGTTGTTTTAAGACGCCGTGTCTGGATTAGAAACCACAAAGAAAGAGGACGGACGTGAGGCGCGGCGTGTGGGCGTCTCCAGCCTGTGATGTCGCATCTGTACATTTTTACATAAAACTCTTCAATGAAGGGTTTCACTTCTGTTCCACAATCATGTAAGCTAACATGGAAGCTACCACGGACGCTAACGTGGAAGCTAACATGGAGGCTAATGTGGAAGCTAACGTGGAAGCTAACATTGAAGCTAACATGGAAGCTAACATGGAAGCTACCACGGACGCTAACGTGGAAGCTAACATGGAAGCTAACATGGAAGCTACCACGGAAGCTAACATTGAAGCTAACATGGAAGCTACCACGGAAGCTAACGTGGAAGCTAACATGGAGGCTAACGTGGAAGCTAACGTGGAAGCTAACATGGAAGCTAACATGGAGGCTAACGTGGAAGCTAACATGGAAGGTAACATGGAGGCTAACATGGAAGCTAACGTGGAAGCTAACATGGAGGCTAACGTGGAGGCTAACATGGTAGCTAACATGGAGGCTAACGTGGAAGCTAACATGGAAGCTACCACGGACGCTAACGTGGAAGCTAACTAAGCTAACGTGGAAGCTAACATGGAAGCTAACATGGAAGCTAACATGGAAGCTAACATGGAGGCTAACGTGGAGGCTAACATGGAAGCTAACATGGAGGCTAACGTGGAGGCTAACATGGAAGCTAACATAAGAGTTGCCTTTTGAACATTTTGATTAAATCGGGTCAAAAACAGCCTGGTTTAGTCCAATCAGAACGCTCCAGGTCACTTCAGGAAGCAATAAATTACTGATGAAATTATGATGAAAACACAAAGATTTGAGCAATACACAAAAAACAGCTCAGAGGAGACTGGAGCTACCTACAGGGGTCAAGGGTCAGGGAGAGTCAGGGGTCAGAGAGAGTCAGGGGTCAAGGGTCAGGGGTCAGAGAGAGTCAGAGGTCAGAGAAAGTCAGAGGTCAGGGAGAGTCAGGGGTCAGAAAGAGTCCGGGTTCAAGGGTCAGAGAGGGTCAGGTGTCAGAGAGAGTCCGGGGTCAAGGGTCAGAGTGAGTCAGGGTTCAGAGAGAGTCAGGGGTCAGAGGTCAGAGAAAGTCAGAGGTCAGGGATACAGGGGCCGAACACTGAACGGTATGGTTCTTTTGAACACTTTCATTTGAATGTATAAAAAAAGCCAATTTTGGTTTCTTTCTAAGACTGTTAAAGCCCCTTTTTTCAAGGTGCTGGACCTGGACTAGACCTGGACTGGACCTGGACTGGACCTGGACTGGACCTGGACTGGACCTGGACTGGACGTAACAGTATCTAGGCCTTCAGAGTCCTTAAGACAACACAAAATATCTTAATATAAGATAAAAACACTATGTTTTGGTGAAGGACAGAACCATTTATTGCTTGTTTTGTTTATTGTTGAAACACACTGTTCTTCGCGGCAGAGTTTGATGAAGAATGAAATAATGTAAAAATGAATCTGAATCTCAGAAAAACTAAACCCTGTTGTGATCTACTGTTCCTTTGTAAAGATCAGAGAGACTGACGATAAAACAGGATCTGAATGTTTTTATTTACATTTTCACTGGAAACTGCTTTCGCTCCAAAATCCATCCATTTTCTTCCGCTTCATCCGTTGCCGGGTCTCCTAAATCCTATGTCCTTTTGAGCAGAGGTGACAGTGGCTCAGTGGGTGGGGGGTTCGATCCCCACCACGAAACCTTCTCCACCGACTCCCACTGATGTCGCTGTGTCCTTGGGCAAGACACTTACCCCACTTTGCCTGAAGCCCCCACTGACAGACCCCAGCACAGACCCAGACGTGCATCAAGGAGAAGAAAATGGACTGGTTTCTTTTGAGGCTCGTGGTTTCTCTGTTTGAAAAGAACCAAACCGTTGTAAAGGTCATTGGCGTGTGCGTTGGCGTGTGCGGGGACAGGGACGTGATGGAGGCCGTTGCCGTGTGCGGGGACAGGGACGTGATGGAGGCCGTTGGCGTGTGCAGGGACAGGGACGTGATGGAGGCCGTTGGCGTGTGCGGGGACAGGGACGTGATGGAGGCCGTTGGCGTGTGCGGGGACAGGGACGTGATGGAGGCCGTTGGCGTGTGCGGGACAGGGACGTGATGGAGGCCGTTGGCGTGTGCGGGGACAGGGACGTGATGGAGGCCGTTGGCGTGTGCAGGGACAGGGACGTGATGGAGGCCGTTGGCGTGTGCGGGACAGGGACGTGATGGAGGCCGTTGGCGTGTGCGGGACAGGGACGTGATGGAGGCCGTTGGCGTGTGCGGGACAGGGACGTGATGGAGGCCGTTGGCGTGTGCGGGGACAGGGACGTGATGGAGGCCGTTGGCGTGTGCGGGGACGTGATGGAGGCCGTTGGCGTGTGCAGGGACAGGGACGTGATGGAGGCCGTTGGCGTGTGCGGGGACAGGGACGTGATGGAGGCCGTTGGCGTGTGCGGGGACACGGACGTGATGGAGGCCGTTGGCGTGTGCAGGGACAGGGACGTGATGGAGGCCGTTGGCGTGTGCGGGGACAGGGACGTGATGGAGGCCGTTGGCGTGTGCGGGGACAGGGACGTGATGGAGGCCGTTGGCGTGTGCGGGGACAGGGACGTGATGGAGGCCGTTGGCGTGTGCGGGGACACGGACGTGATGGAGGCCGTTGGCGTGTGCGGGGACAGGGACGTGATGGAGGCCGTTGGCGTGTGCGGGGACAGGGACGTGATGGAGGCCGTTGGCGTGTGCGGGGACACGGACGTGATGGAGGCCTTGGGTGGGGACGACGTTGGCGTGTGCAGGGACAGGGACGTGATGGAGGCCGTTGGCGTGTGCGGGGACACGGACGTGATGGAGGCCGTTGGCGTGTGCGGGACAGGGACGTGATGGAGGCCGTTGGCGTGTGCGGGACAGGGACGTGATGGAGGCCGTTGGCGTGTGCGGGGACAGGGACGTGATGGAGGCCGTTGGCGTGTGCAGGGACAGGGACGTGATGGAGGCCGTTGGCGTGTGCGGGGACAGGGACGTGATGGAGGCCGTTGGCGTGTGCAGGGACAGGGACGTGATGGAGGCCGTTGGCGTGTGCGGGGACACGGACGTGATGGAGGCCGTTGGCGTGTGCGGGACAGGGACGTGATGGAGGCCGTTGGCGTGTGCGGGACAGGGACGTGATGGAGGCCGTTGGCGTGTGCGGGGACAGGGACGTGATGGAGGCCGTTGGCGTGTGCAGGGACAGGGACGTGATGGAGGCCGTTGGCGTGTGCGGGGACACGGACGTGATGGAGGCCGTTGGCGTGTGCGGGACAGGGACGTGATGGAGGCCGTTGGCGTGTGCGGGACAGGGACGTGATGGAGGCCATTGGCGTGTGCGGGGACGTGATGGAGGCCGTTGGCGTGTGCAGGGACACGGACGTGATGGAGGCCGTTGGCGTGTGCGGGGACAGGGACGTGATGGAGGCCGTTGGCGTGTGCGGGGACGTGATGGAGGCCGTTGGCGTGTGCAGGGACAGGGACGTGATGGAGGCCGTTGGCGTGTGCGGGGACAGGGACGTGATGGAGGCCGTTGGCGTGTGCGGGGACACGGACGTGATGGAGGCCGTTGGCGTGTGCAGGGACAGGGACGTGATGGAGGCCGTTGGCGTGTGCGGGGACAGGGACGTGATGGAGGCCGTTGGCGTGTGCGGGGACAGGGACGTGATGGAGGCCGTTGGCGTGTGCGGGGACAGGGACGTGATGGAGGCCGTTGGCGTGTGCGGGGACACGGACGTGATGGAGGCCGTTGGCGTGTGCAGGGACAGGGACGTGATGGAGGCCGTTGGCGTGTGCGGGGACAGGGACGTGATGGAGGCCGTTGGCGTGTGCGGGGACACGGACGTGATGGAGGCCGTTGGCGTGTGCAGGGACAGGGACGTGATGGAGGCCGTTGGCGTGTGCGGGGACAGGGACGTGATGGAGGCCGTTGGCGTGTGCGGGGACGTGATGGAGGCCGTTGGCGTGTGCGGGGACGTGATGGAGGCCGTTGGCGTGTGCAGGGACAGGGACGTGATGGAGGCCGTTGGCGTGTGCGGGGACAGGGACGTGATGGAGGCCGTTGGCGTGTGCGGGGACACGGACGTGATGGAGGCCGTTGGCGTGTGCAGGGACAGGGACGTGATGGAGGCCGTTGGCGTGTGCGGGGACAGGGACGTGATGGAGGCCGTTGGCGTGTGCGGGGACAGGGACGTGATGGAGGCCGTTGGCGTGTGCGGGGACAGGGACGTGATGGAGGCCGTTGGCGTGTGCGGGGACACGGACGTGATGGAGGCCGTTGGCGTGTGCAGGGACAGGGACGTGATGGAGGCCGTTGGCGTGTGCGGGGACAGGGACGTGATGGAGGCCGTTGGCGTGTGCGGGGACACGGACGTGATGGAGGCCGTTGGCGTGTGCAGGGACAGGGACGTGATGGAGGCCGTTGGCGTGTGCGGGGACAGGGACGTGATGGAGGCCGTTGGCGTGTGCGGGGACGTGATGGAGGCCGTTGGCGTGTGCAGGGACAGGGACGTGATGGAGGCCGTTGGCGTGTGCGGGGACAGGGACGTGATGGAGGCCGTTGGCGTGTGCGGGGACAGGGACGTGATGGAGGCCGTTGGCGTGTGCGGGGACAGGGACGTGATGGAGGCCGTTGGCGTGTGCGGGGACACGGACGTGATGGAGGCCGTTGGCGTGTGCAGGGACAGGGACGTGATGGAGGCCGTTGGCGTGTGCGGGGACAGGGACGTGATGGAGGCCGTTGGCGTGTGCGGGGACACGGACGTGATGGAGGCCGTTGGCGTGTGCAGGGACAGGGACGTGATGGAGGCCGTTGGCGTGTGCGGGGACAGGGACGTGATGGAGGTCAGGGTATTTCTCCCACTAACATTTGGCGGGTGCTGATTCACCGTTTCCGTGGTTACTGATCCAGCTGCAGGCGTCACCTTAGAGTAGATTCTTATCCTTTCTGCCTTCATCCCTCTTTAACCCGTTTGCATACTGTACAAAATAAAGTCTATTTTAAATATTTTAAGAAATATTTTGTATTTAACCATGAGGATTACGTTGTGGACTTGTAAAAAGGAAGCTGAAAGACGGCGTGTACAGCGACGGAGTATTTTCTAGTTCTTTAACCTTCGGTAGAGGATCGTGGGCCTAAACGCTGGCGAACGTTTGAACCAGGAGGAGATTAAACGATCCATGTTTTTATGATAGTGCTTTTGAATAACGCTGAAGTTTCTGGTCGTGCTGTTTTTACCTGTTCTATCTACGCTCATCCATGACGTGTATTTCCTGTGTTGGGTGTTAGACTTTCAGTGTGTGTCTTCCAGATGAGGACATGTGTCTCGATGTCCACACGGAAAGTCCCCGAAAGATCTGGAGTCTGACATCGGTCTGAAAAGATCTGGATCCAAACTTACTGCGGTTCAAAGGTTCATGGACCGATAACTCTGCAGCAGTTTGTGTGAGGGAGAAATGTTATGTATTGTTATGTATTTTACCGTGTTGAGACCCCGCCGCCTTTACTTCAGGTTCAATTCAATCTATTTGTGTGTCGCCCTGAATCACAGCAGTATTTATCTCCGAGGACTTTCCAAAGCTGTCGAGACATCGGTCCAAAAGAAGCAGAGACCACCGTGGAATAATGTGGGATAATGTGGATGTGGAGGGTCCTGGATCCTCTCTGTCCTCAGACCGATCGATTGTTTTGTAGGTTCTCTGGTGCGGTTCTGGTCCCTCAGCCCAGAGAACCTCCCAAGCATTGATCCTAAAGCCTCATCTGAGACTGTGGTGAAAGTAAAGGCCCCGAGGTCAAATACACAACAATACTTTACTTCACACGAAAAGTACCATCACACAACTTCAAATATCAACACTGACTTGATTTTCAGACTCCTGCCTCTGATTAGAAACTTAGCTTTTGCGGCTAAGCTAACGGTCGGAGGCGGGGACAGTGTGGACATCCAGACGCCATCTTTTCTTTCCTCCGTTCTCTGGTCTGTTGTTCTTCTGCTGAGGACCGGGTGCAGTGAGAGTCGGTACAAACCACTTATTTGCAAAGACTTTTTTCTAAAATGAATAAGCTTTTTGATTCAAATGACTGATGTTGTTGTTAACAGGGATTTTGCATAAACCTCTCTCTGCAGATGTGTGGTCTGTACCAGCGTTTCCTCATCTCTAATTGTTCTGTAGCAAAATGCAGTTGTAGCATTTGGTCGATTGTGTGTCTCTGATGTTTCTGTGTGGATTCGATGCTCATCGCCTTATTCCATGTGTGTGTTTATGACGTGACGCTCTTCAGGCAAAGCCAAAAACCAACTACGCACTGTTCATTAGGATTTTCAAATGTCTCCGAGAGCGAGAGGCGCGTAGCATCAGTCTGAGCTGTTCCTGAGACCTGAGGACCAGAGCTGAGGACCAGAGCTGAGGACCAGAGCTGAGGACCAGACCTTAGGGCCAGAGCTGAGGACCAGAGCTGAGGACCAGACCTTAGGACCAGAGCTGAGGACCAGGGCTGAGGACCAGAGCTGAGGACCAGACCTTAGGACCAGACCTTAGGACCAGAGCAGAGGACCAGAGCAGAGGCAGAGGACCCGCCCTTCACTCACACAGATACATCCCCAACGCTCTGAGAGTCCCTCAAACACCAGGATCCTCCAGCACCTGTTGGAACCACCTCCTCTGTCGCAGAAACAAGTTTCCCTGAGCTCTGTCTGCAGGAAGCTCTGTCTGCAGGAAGCTCTGTCTGTACAGGAAGCTCTGTCTGCAGGAAGCTCTGTCTGCAGGAAGCTCTGTCTGTACAGGAAGCTCTGTCTGCAGGAAGCTCTGTCTGCAGGAAGCTCTGTCTGTACAGGAAGCTCTGTCTGCAGGAAGCTCTGTCTGCAGGAAGCTCTGTCTGTACAGGAAGCTCTGTCTGTACAGGAAGCTCTGTCTGTACAGGAAGCTCTGTCTGTACAGGAAGCTCTGTCTGCAGGAAGCTCTGTCTGTACAGGAAGCTCTGTCTGTACAGGAAGCTCTGTCTGTACAGGAAGCTCTGTCTGTACAGGAAGCTCTGTCTGCAGGAAGCTCTGTCTGCAGGAAGCTCTGTCTGTACAGGAAGCTCTGTCTGGAGGAAGCTCTGTCTGCAGGAAGCTCTGTCTGCAGGAAGCTCTGTCTGTACAGGAAGCTCTGTCTGTACAGGAAGCTCTGTCTGGAGGAAGCTCTGTCTGCAGGAAGCTCTGTCTGCAGGAAGCTCTGTCTGTACAGGAAGCTCTGTCTGTACAGGAAGCTCTGTCTGTACAGGAAGCTCTGTCTGCAGGAAGCTCTGTCTGTACAGGAAGCTCTGTCTGTACAGGAAGCTCTGTCTGTACATGAAGCTCTGTCTGTACAGGAAGCTCTGTCTGCAGGAAGCTCTGTCTGAAGGAAGCTCTGTCTGTACAGGAAGCTCTGTCTGCAGGAAGCTCTGTCTGCACAGGAAGCTCTGTCTGCAGGAAGCTCTGTCTGCACAGGAAGCTCTGTCTGCAGGAAGCTCTGTCTGTACAGGAAGCTCTGTAAGCTCTGTCTGCAGGAAGCTCTGTCTGTACAGGAAGCTCTGTCTGCAGGAAGCTCTGTCTGTACAGGAAGCTCTGTCTGTACAGGAAGCTCTGTCTGCAGGAAGCTCTGTCTGTACAGGAAGCTCTGTCCGTACAGGAAGCTCTGTCTGCAGGAAGCTCTGTCTGCAGGAAGCTCTGTCTGCAGGAAGCTCTGTCTGCAGGAAGCTCTGTCTGCAGGAAGCTCTGTCTGTACAGGAAGCTCTGTCTGCAGGAAGCTCTGTCTGCACAGGAAGCAGCAGTGATCCATCAGGGGTCCCAGGCCGAGACCCCCGAGTATCACGGGCCTTCACTGGGTTCTCTTCCCAGGGCAGAGAACCCACTGGGCTCATACGCCTCAGGGCCTGTAGGTCCTGATGTAGGCCCTGATGTAGGTCCTGATGTAGGTCCTGATGTAGGCCCTAATGTAGGCCCTGATGTAGGCCCTGATGTAGGTCCTGATGTAGGTCCTGATGTAGGCCCTGATGTAGGTTCTGATGTAGGTCCTGATGTAGGTCCTGATGTAGGTCCTGATGTAGGCCCTGATGTAGGTCCTGATGTAGGTCCTGATCTAGGCCCTAATGTAGGCCCTGATGTAGGCCCTGATGTAGGTCCTGATGTAGGTCCTGATGTAGGCCCTGATGTAGGTCCTGATGTAGGTCCTGATGTAGGTCCTGATGTAGGTCGTGATGTGGGTCCTGATGTAGGCCCTGATGTGGGTCCTGATGTAGGCCCTGATGTGGGTCCTGATGTAGGTCTTTGGACCAGGGGCCCCATGTTCTGCAGGAGGTTCAGGACCGTTCTGCTGCAGACGACATGAGTTTGGGAGGATTAGAACTGAACATGGATGTGTCTAAGGATCCTGGGAATTGAGGAACTCTTACTTCTACCATCCACAGACCCCTCAGACCTGACAGACCCCTCAGACCCCACAGACCCCACAGACCCCACAGACCCCTCAGACCCCTCAGACCCCACAGACCCCTCAGACCCCACAGACCCCTCAGACCCCACAGACCCCACAGACCCCACAGACCCCTCAGACCCCTCAGACCCCACAGACCCCACAGACCCCTCAGACCCCACAGACCCCACAGACCCCTCAGACCCCTCAGACCCCACAGACTCCACAGACCACACAGACCCCACAGACCCCTCAGACCCCACAGACCCCACAGACCCCACAGACCCCACAGACCCCACAGACCCCACAGACCCCACAGACCCCACAGACCCCACAGACCCCACAGACCCCACAGACCCCACAGACCCCTCAGACCCCACAGACCCCTCAGACCCCACAGACCCCACAGACCCCACAGACCCCACAGACCCCACAGACCCCTCAGACCCCTCAGACCCCACAGACCCCACAGACCCCACAGACCCCACAGACCCCTCAGACCCCACAGACCCCACAGACCCCACAGACCCCACAGACCCCACAGACCCCACAGACCCCACAGACCCCACAGACCCCACAGACCCCACAGACCCCACAGACCCCTCAGACCCCACAGACCCCACAGACCCCACAGACCCCTCAGACCCCACAGACCCCACAGACCCCACAGACCCCTCAGACCCCTCAGACCCCACAGACCCCACAGACCCCACAGACCCCTCAGACCCCACAGACCCCACAGACCCCACAGACCCCTCAGACCCCACAGACCCCACAGACCCCACAGACCCCTCAGACCCCACAGACCCCACAGACCCCCCATGGCCAGGCCAGAGGGCCCTGTGATGGCCCCTGTGATGGCCCCTGTGATGGCCCCTGAGGCAGGTCGGTGGACAGACTGTTGTACTGCAGGTGCACCATAAGTGATATGCACACTTGTGATATTTTCTATTTTCATAAAGATTTAGTGCTTTTTTACTCCGTGCTTGTCGTTCCTGGTGCGACGCGGAGCAGGAGGAAAACAATGTTTGCATAAAGTATATTTGCATTTGGTACTCCGATAGTATATCTGTGGCAAGTGTTTGGTTTCATAACTTTATTTACAAAACTATGCCAAGTATTTGAAAGCTATTTTTAGAGTAAAAGAAGTCATTCACTTTGAGTTAAACATTTATCTTTGTATCTATAAAAACGAGCATAATCCACAGTAACGACTGTTGTACTGTACTCACTTCATAATAAAGTCTGCATGGAAACTGCCTGCTTTATTACACCATGGTACACGCTCACCTGGTCCTGGACACACACTCACCTGGTCCTGGACACACTCACCTGGTCCTGGACACACTCACCTGGTCCTGGACACACGCTCACCTGGTCCTGGACACACACTCACCTGGTCCTGGACACACACTCAGCTGGTCCTGGACACACACTCAGCTGGTCCTGGACACACTCACCTGGTCCTGGACACACTCACCTGGTCCTGGACACACGCTCACCTGGTCCTGGACACACTCACCTGGTCCTGGAGACACACTCACCTGGTCCTGGACACACGCTCACCTGGTCCTGGACACACTCACCTGGTCCTGGACACACACTCACCTGGTCCTGGACACACACACTCACCTGGTCCTGGACACACTCACCTGGTCCTGGACACGCTCACCTGGTCCTGGACACACTCACCTGGTCCTGGACACGCTCACCTGGTCCTGGACACGCTCACCTGGTCCTGGACACACTCTCACCTGGTCCTGGACACACACACTCACCTGGTCCTGGACACACTCACCTGGTCCTGGACACGCTCACCTGGTCCTGGACACACTCACCTGGTCCTGGACACGCTCACCTGGTCCTGGACACGCTCACCTGGTCCTGGACACACTCACCTGGTCCTGGAGACACTCACCTGGTCCTGGAGACACACTCACCTGGCCCTGGACACACGCTCACCTGGTCCTGGACACACTCACCTGGTCCTGGACACACGCTCACCTGGTCCTGGACACACACACTCACCTGGTCTTGGACACACTCACCTGGTCCTGGACACACGCTCACCTGGTCCTGGACACACACACTCACCTGGTCCTGGACACACTCAGCTGGTCCTGGACACACTCAGATCTATGTCTCACTGACTGCAGGAGAACATGGACCAGTGGACTCACTCCTTCACTGTATCCAACAGATCAGTGAGTGGATGCAAAACAACTTCCTTCAGCTAAACGCAGACAAAACTGAAATGATTGTCTTTGGTCCCCAGAAACAAAGAGAGAGCGTCATCTGTCACCTTCAGTCTCTCTCCCTAAAACCTTCAAACAAGGTCAGAAATCTAGGGGTAATACTGGACTCAGACTTAAATTTTAATAGCCACATCAAATCAGTAACATCAGCAGCTTTTTACCATCTAAAAAACATTTCCAGGATCAAAAACATAGTGTCTAAAGCAGACTTGGAGATTCTTATCCATGCATTTGTCTCCAGTAGGTTAGACTACTGCAATGGCCTGCTCACAGGTCTGTCCAAACAGGCTGTAAAACAGCTGCAGTACATTCAAAATGCAGCAGCTCCAGTCCTGACTAGAACCAGGAAGTACGACCATATTAGTCCAGTCCTCAGGTCTCTGCTGGCTTCCTGTGGCTCAGAGAATAGACTTTAAAACAGCTCTGCTTGTGTACAAGTCTCTCCATGGCCTCGCACCAAAATATATTAGTGACATGTTAGTCCCATATGAACCAGCCCGGACTCTGAGGAGCACAGGGACTGGACTCCTGCTGGGACTCTGAGGAGCACAGGGACTGGACTCCTGCTGGGACTCTGAGGAGCACAGGGACTGGACTCCTGCTGGGACTCTGAGGAGCACAGGGACTGGACTCCTGCTGGGACTCTGAGGAGCACAGGGACTGGACTCCTGCTGGGACTCTGAGGAGCACAGGGACTGGACTCCTGCTGGGACTCTGAGGAGCACAGGGACTGGACTCCTGCTGGGACTCTGAGGAGCACAGGGACTGGACTCCTGCTGGGACTCTGAGGAGCACAGGGACTGGACTCCTGCTGGGACTCTGAGGAGCACAGGGACTGGACTCCTGCTGGGACTCTGAGGAGCACAGGGACTGGACTCCTGTTAGTGCCCAGAGTCAGAACTAAACATGGGGAGGCTGCTTTTCAGATTAATGCTGCTAAAATCTGGAACAATCTTCCTGAAGATGTGAGACAGGCCTCCTCTCTGACAATGTTTAAAACCAGGTTAAAGACAGTTCTGTTTAGCTGTGCTACAACTGAGGGATTTTATATTTTTATCTTTCTTTTTAATGTTCTGTGATTATTTATGATTTTAATGCTATTTTGTTCAGCACTTTGAGTTGCCTTGTGTATGAATTGTTCTATATAAATAAACTTGCCTTGCCATAATTGGAGTCTGTAGAGTTAGGATTAAACTTAACCCTGTGTAAACTTCTCCTGTGTGAGATCAATAAAGTCTATCTCGTCTTATCATAGACTCAAAGAGACCTGCAGCACCTCCTCTGACCTGCAGCACCTCCTCTGACCTGCAGCACCTCCTCTGACCTGCAGTACCTCCTCTGACCTGCAGCACCTCCTCTGACTTGCAGCACCTCCTCTGACCTGCAGTACCTCCTCTGACCTGCAGCACCTCCTTTGGCCTGCAGTACCTCCTCTGGCCTGCAGCCCCTCCTCTGACCTGCAGCACCTCCTTTGGCCTGCAGTACCTCCTCTGACCTGCAGCACCTCCTCTGACCTGCAGCACCTCCTCTGGCCTGCAGTACCTCCTCTGACCTGCAGCACCTCCTCTGACCTGCAGTACCTCCTCTGACCAGCAGCACCTCCTCTGGCCTGCAGTACCTCCTCTGACCTGCAGTACCTCCTCTGGCCTGCAGTACCTCCTCTGGCCGGCAGTACCTCCTCTGACCAGCAGCACCTCCTCTGGTCTGCAGTACCTCCTCTGGCCTGTAGCACCTCCTCTGACTTGCAGTACCTCCTCTGACCTGCAGTACCTCCTCTGACCTGCAGTACCTCCTCTGACCTGCAGCACCTCCTTTGGCCTGCAGTACCTCCTCTGGCCTGCAGCCCCTCCTCTGACCTGCAGCACCTCCTTTGGTCTGCAGTACCTCCTCTGACCTGCAGCACCTCCTCTGACCTGCAGCACCTCCTCTGGCCTGCAGTACCTCCTCTGACCTACAGTACCTCCTCTGACCTGCAGTACCTCCTCTGGCCTGCAGTACCTCCTCTGACCTGCAGTACCTCCTCTGACCAGCAGCACCTCCTCTGGCCTGCAGTACCTCCTCTGACCTGCAGTACCTCCTCTGGCCTGCAGTACCTCCTCTGGCCGGCAGTACCTCCTCTGACCAGCAGCACCTCCTCTGGCCTGCAGTACCTCCTCTGACCTGTAGCACCTCCTCTGACTTGCAGTACCTCCTCTGACCTGCAGTACCTCCTCTGACCTGCAGCACCTCCTCTGGCCTGCAGTACCTCCTCTGACCAGCAGCACCTCCTCTGGCCTGCAGTACCTCCTCTGACCTGCAGCACCTCCTCTGGCCGGCAGTACCTCCTCTGGCCTGCAGTACCTCCTCTGACCTGCAGCACCTCCTCTGACCTGCAGCACCTCCTCTGGCCGGCAGTACGTCCTCTGACCTGCAGTACCTCCTCTGGCCTGCAGTACCTCCTCTGACCTGCAGCACCTCCTCTGGCCTGCAGTACCTCCTCTGATCTGCAGTACCTCCTCTGACCAGCAGCACCTCCTCTGGCCTGCAGTACCTCCTCTGACCTGCAGCACCTCCTCTGGCCGGCAGTACCTCCTCTGGCCTGCAGTACCTCCTCTGACCTGCAGCACCTCCTCTGGCCTGCAGTACCTCCTCTGGCCTGCAGTACCTCCTCTGGCCGGCAGTACGTCCTCTGACCTGCAGTACCTCCTCTGGCCTGCAGTACCTCCTCTGACTTGTAGTACCTCCTCTGGCCTGCAGTACCTCCTCTGACCGGCAGCACCTCCTCTGACCTGCAGTACCTCCTCTGACCTGCAGCACCTCCTCTGACCTGCAGCACCTCCTCTGACCTGCAGCACCTCCTCTGACCGGCAGCACCTCCTCTGACCTGCAGTACCTCCTCTGACCTGCAGCACCTCCTCTGACCTGCAGTACCTCCTCTGACCTGCAGCACCTCCTCTGACCTGCAGTACCTCCTCTGACCTGCAGCACCTCCTCTGACCTGCAGTACCTCCTCTGACCAGCAGCACCTCCTCTGACCTGCAGTACCTCCTCTGACTTGCAGTACCTCCTCTGACCTGCAGTACCTCCTCTGACCTGCAGCACCTCCTTTGGCCTGCAGTACCTCCTCTGGCCTGCAGCCCCTCCTCTGACCTGCAGCACCTCCTTTGGCCTGCAGTACCTCCTCTGACCTGCAGCACCTCCTCTGACCTGCAGCACCTCCTCTGGCCTGCAGTACCTCCTCTGACCTGCAGTACCTCCTCTGGCCTGCAGTACCTCCTCTGACCTGCAGCACCTCCTCTGATCTGCAGCACCTCCTCTGGCCTGCAGTACCTCCTCTGGCCTGCAGTACCTCCTCTGGCCGGCAGTACGTCCTCTGACCTGCAGTACCTCCTCTGGCCTGCAGTACCTCCTCTGACCTGCAGTACCTCCTCTGACCTGCAGTACCTCCTCTGGCCTGCAGTACCTCCTCTGACCGGCAGCACCTCCTCTGACCTGCAGTACCTCCTCTGACCTGCAGCCCCTCCTCTGACCTGCAGCACCTCCTCTGACCGGCAGCACCTCCTCTGACCTGCAGTACCTCCTCTGACCTGCAGCACCTCCTCTGACCTGCAGTACCTCCTCTGACCTGCAGCACCTCCTCTGACCTGCAGTACCTCCTCTGACCTGTAGCACCTCCTCTGACCTGCAGTACCTCCTCTGACCAGCAGCACCTCCTCTGACCTGCAGTACCTCCTCTGACCTGCAGTACCTCCTCTGGCCTGCAGCCCCTCCTCTGACCTGCAGCACCTCCTTTGGCCTGCAGTACCTCCTCTGACCTGCAGCACCTCCTCTGACCTGCAGCACCTCCTCTGGCCTGCAGTACCTCCTCTGACCTACAGTACCTCCTCTGACCTGCAGTACCTCCTCTGGCCTGCAGTACCTCCTCTGACCTGCAGCACCTCCTTTGACCAGCAGCACCTCCTCTGGCCTGCAGTACCTCCTCTGACCTGCAGTACCTCCTCTGGCCTGCAGTACCTCCTCTGGCCGGCAGTACCTCCTCTGACCAGCAGCACCTCCTCTGGCCTGCAGTACCTCCTCTGACCTGTAGCACCTCCTCTGACTTGCAGTACCTCCTCTGACCTGCAGTACCTCCTCTGACCTGCAGCACCTCCTCTGGTCTGCAGTACCTCCTCTGACCTGCAGTACCTCCTCTGATCAGCAGCACCTCCTCTGGCCTGCAGTACCTCCTCTGACCTGCAGTACCTCCTCTGGCCTGCAGTACCTCCTCTGATCTGCAGCACCTCCTCTGACCTGCAGTACCTCCTCTGGCCTGCAGTACCTCCTCTGGCCTGCAGTACCTCCTCTGACCTGCAGCACCTCCTCTGGCCTGCAGCACCTCCTCTGACCTGCAGCACCTCCTCTGGCCTGCAGCACCTCCTCTGACCAGCAGCACCTCCTCTGGCCTGCAGTACCTCCTCTGACCTGCAGTACCTCCTCTGACCTGCAGTACCTCCTCTGGCCTGCAGTACCTCCTCTGACCTGCAGTACCTCCTCTGACCTGCAGTACCTCCTCTGGCCTGCAGTACCTCCTCTGACCTGCAGTACCTCCTCTGACCAGCAGCACCTCCTCTGGCCTGCAGTACCTCCTCTGACCTGCAGCACCTCCTCTGGCCGGCAGTACCTCCTCTGGCCTGCAGTACCTCCTCTGACCTGCAGTACCTCCTCTGGCCTGCAGTACCTCCTCTGGCCTGCAGTACCTCCTCTGGCCGGCAGTACGTCCTCTGACCAGCGAGCACCTCCTCTGGCCTGCAGTACCTCCTCTGACCTGCAGTACCTCCTCTGACCAGCAGCACCTCCTCTGGCCTGCAGTACCTCCTCTGGCCTGCAGCCACCTCTTCTGGCCTGCAGTACCTCCTCTGGCCTGCAGCACCTCCTCTGACCTGCAGCACCTCCTCTGACCAGCAGCACCTCCTCTGGCCTGCAGTACCTCCTCTGACCTGCAGTACCTCCTCTGCCTGCAGTACCTCCTCTGGCCTGCAGTACCTCCTCTGACCTGCAGTACCTCCTCTGACCTGCAGCACCTCCTCTGACCTGCAGTACCTCCTCTGACCTGCAGCATCTCCTCTGACCTGCAGCACCTCCTCTGATCTGCAGCACCTCCTCTGGCCTGCAGCACCTCCTCTGGCCTGCAGTACCTCCTCTGCCGCAGTACCTCCTCTGACCAGCAGCACCTCCTCTGGCCTGCAGTACCTCCTCTGACCTGTAGCACCTCCCTGACTGCAGTACCTCCTCTGACCTGCAGTACCTCCTCTGACCTGCAGCACCTCCTCTGACCTGCAGTACCTCCTCTGACCTGCAGTACCTCCTCTGACCTGAAGCACCTCCTCTGACCGCAGCACCTCCTCTGACCTGCAGTACCTCCTCTGACCTGCAGCACCTCCTCTGACCTGCAGCACCTCCTCTGACCGGCAGCACCTCCTCTGACCTGCAGCACCTCCTCTGGCCTGCAGTACCTCCTCTGACCAGCAGCACCTCCTCTGGCCTGCAGCACCTCCTCTGACCAGCAGCACCTCCTCTGGCCTGCAGTACCTCCTCTGACCTGCAGCACCTCCTCTGACCAGCAGCACCTCCTCTGGCCTGCAGTACCTCCTCTGACCTGCAGCACCTCCTTTGGCCTGCAGCACCTCCTCTGGCCTGCAGCCCCTCCTCTGACCTGCAGCACCTCCTTAGGGCCTGCAGTACCTCCTCTGACCTGCAGCACCTCCTCTGACCTGCAGCACCTCCTCTGGCCTGCAGTACCTCCTCTGACCTGCAGTACCTCCTCTGACCTGCAGTACCTCCTCTGACCAGCAGCACCTCCTCTGGCCTGCAGTACCTCCTCTGACCTGCAGTACCTCCTCTGGCCGGCAGTACCTCCTCTGGCCTGCAGCACCTCCTCTGGCCTGCAGTACCTCCTCTGACCTGCAGTACCTCCTCTGACCTGCAGAACCTCCTCTGACCTGCAGCACCTCCTCTGACCTGCAGCACCTCCTCTGACCTGCAGCACCTCCTCTGGCCTGCAGTACCTCCTCTGGCCTGCAGTACCTCCTCTGGCCTGCAGTACCTCCTCTGACCTGCAGCACCTCCTCTGGCCTGCAGTACCTCCTCTGGCCTGCAGTACCTCCTCTGGCCTGCAGTACCTCCTCTGGCCTGCAGTACCTCCTCTGGCCGGCAGAGGCAGCAGTGCGCTCAGAGGCGCTCTGTTCACCGGAAATCAAAAGAAGAAACTTGGAGTCTTGAGCTAAACATGGAGTAAAAGCTTCACTGGACCTGAGCCGTGTTCTGATCCAGGCTCCAACTCATACACGGACACGAACCCAGGCGAACCCAGGCGAACTCAGGCGGAGACGGACGGAGACGGACGGAGACGGACGGAGACGGACGGAGACGGACGGAGACGGACGGAGACGGACGGAGACGGACGGAGACGGACGGAGACGGACGGAGACGGACGGAGACGGACAGAGACGGACAGAGACGGACGGAGACGGACGGAGACGGACGGAGACGGACGGAGACGGACGGAGACGGACGGAGACGGACAGAGACGGACAGAGACGGACAGAGACGGACAGAGACGGACAGAGACGGACAGAGACGGACAGAGACGGACAGAGACGGACGGAGACGGACGGAGACGGACGGAGACGGACGGAGACGGACGGAGACGGACGGAGACGGACGGAGACGGACAGAGACGGACAGAGACGGACAGAGACGGACAGAGACGGACAGAGACGGACAGAGACGGACGGAGACGGACAGAGACGGACAGAGACGGACGGAGACGGACGGAGACACCAGCAGCAGCAGAACCAGCAGCAGCAGAACCAGCAGTACCAGAGGTCCGGAGGCTAAATGCTCCGGTGAATAGACCTCCGTGAGACCCCGGGGACAGGCAGGTGTGTGTCCGATCCTCTGGTGCCTTCGTTCGGGTGCACGGGGCCGCTGAGGGGGGGTCCCTGAGACAGACTCACGTGTGGACCCAGACCTGGACAGACTGACCCAGACTCACATGCTGACCCAGACTGGGACAGACTCACATATGGACCCAGACCTGGACAGACTGACATGTGGACCCAGACTGGGACAGACTGACATGTGGACCCAGACCTGGACAGACTGACATGTGGACCCAGACTGACCCATGCTGACTCAGACTCACATGTGGACCCAGACCTGGACAGACTCACATGTGGACCCAGACTGACCCATGCTGACTCAGACTCACATGTGGACCCAGACTGACCCATGCTGACTCAGACTCACATGTGGACCCAGACCTGGACAGACTGACATGTGGACCCAGACCTGGACAGACTCACATGTGGACCCAGACTGACCCATGCTGACTCAGACTCACATGTGGACCCAGACTGACCCATGCTGACTCAGACTCACATGTGGACCCAGACCTGGACAGACTGACATGTGGACCCAGACCTGGACAGACTCACATGTGGACCCAGACTGACCCATGCTGACTCAGACTCACATGTGGACCCAGACTGACCCATGCTGACTCAGACTCACATGTGGACCCAGACCTGGACAGACTGACATGTGGACCCAGACCTGGACAGACTCACATGTGGACCCAGACTGACCCATGCTGACTCAGACTCACATGTGGACCCAGACTGACCCATGCTGACTCAGACTCACATGTGGACCCAGACCTGGACAGACTGACCCAGACTCACATGCTGACCCAGACTGGGACAGACTCACATGTGGACCCAGACCCGGACAGACTCACATGTGGACCCAGACTGACCCATGCTGACTCAGACTCACATGCTGACCCAGACTGGGACAGACTGGGACAGACTGTGATGATAATGACAAATGGTAGTGATCGCTGAGTTGGTGAAAGCAGATGTTTTTGTCTCAGATTATATGATATTTTACTGACACCACCTGCTGCTGCCTCGGCCACGGGAGCCCCACAAAATATATCACAAACAATGTGTGTGATCTGTATCTCAATATTATAAGAGAATCAAAACAGTTCTAACACAGTTCTAACCCCAGGACTGAGGCTGTAGACCCAGGACTGAGGCTGTAGACCCAGGACTGAGGCTGTAGACCCAGGACTGAGGCTGTAGACCCAGGACTGAGGCTTGTAGACCCAGGACTGAGGCTGTAGATCCAGGACTGAGGCTGTAGACCCAGGACTGAGGCTGTAGACCAGGACTAAAGCTGTAGACCAGGACTGAGGCTGTAGACCAGGACTGAGGCTGTAGACCCAGGACTGAGGCTGTAGACCCAGGACTGAGGCTGTAGACCCAGGACTGAGGCTGTAGACCCAGGACTGAGGCTGTAGACCCAGGACTGAGGCTGTAGACCCAGGACTGAGGCTGTAGACCCAGGACTGAGGCTGTAGACCCAGGACTGAGGCTGTAGACCCAGGACTGAGGCTGTAGACCCAGGACTGAGGCTGTAGACCCAGGACTGAGGCTGTGGACCCAGGACTGAGGCTGTAGACCCAGGACTGAGGCTGTAGACCCAGGACTGAGGCTGTAGACCCAGGACTGAGGCTGTAGACCCAGGACTGAGGCTGTAGACCCAGGACTGAGGCTGTAGACCCAGGACTGAGGCTGTGGACCCAGGACTGAGGCTGTAGACCCAGGACTGAGGCTGTAGACCCAGGACTGAGGCTGTAGACCCAGGACTGAGGCTGTAGACCCAGGACTGAGGCTGTAGACCCAGGACTGAGGCTGTAGACCCAGGACTGAGGCTGTAGACCCAGGACTGAGGCTGTAGACCCAGGACTGAGGCTGTAGACCCAGGACTGAGGCTGTAGACCCAGGGCTGAGGCTGTAGACCCAGGACTGAGGCTGTAGACCCAGGACTGAGGCTGTAGACCCAGGACTGAGGCTGTAGACCCAGGACTGAGGCTGCAGACCCAGGACTGAGGCTGTAGACCCAGGACTGAGGCTGTAGACCCAGGACTGAGGCTGTAGACCCAGGACTGAGGCTGTAGACCCAGGACTGAGACTGTAGACCCAGGACTGATCACGTCTTTTTAATCAGAAATGTCTTGATAACCATTGGTTTTCTCTAAATCCACAGAGTGCCGTTAAAGACCTTATGACGGGTTTGATTTATTTAGAAATACAGTTTTAATACCATTTTATATTAGAAGAGAACTACTAAAGGTTTCAAAATCAGTTGTTTTTTTTGTCTGATCCCCCCAAATCGAAATAACCCCATAGCAACGCCCTTAGAGACGAAAAAACTTCACAGTCCTTGGTGACGTCAGAGTGGGTACGTTTCAACGCTGTTGTTTACAATTTGGTATTCGTTCTTTTTTCGCGGATATTCAAGATGAGGCCGTGTACAGAGAGTCTGAGATAAATACTAGATTATGACACTTTGTTGTCACTGAGATAGTCCAGTGGTTGTGTCGATGGACTAACAATCCAGATACTTGGGTTCAAATCCCACCTCGGACACTTTTTCACTCTCAAAACGGCAATTTATGTGTAGTGAGTAATTGTCACCTGTAGAGGGCAGTATTGTGTTGGGCATCAGTGGAGAGAAGAGAGAAAAGGCAGTCCTGTGGCATAGATCCATGGTTTTCAATGCATGGGCGTAACCCGCTGTGACGTCACACACAGGTTAGAGCATAGACAACTTAAATTCATGAAAAACACGTTCTTTTTATAAAATATAGGATTTTTTTTTGCCGGAATCTCCTTCAAATTGACATTGTCATGCAATTTTGATATCCACTATTTAAAAAAAAAAAAACCCGTCATAAGGTCTTTAAGCCGCTGCTCTAATGCTGCAAAGCATCATGGGAGAGGTAGATCCACTGCACACGTGCGTTAGACTCCGATGTTAGTTCCAGTCGTTTACAGAGGAAGCAGTCGCTGTTACCTCAGAGTAAACACCACTGAGCACAGGCCACAGGGCGGCCATTTTGGATCCTCAGGGCTCATGCTCCACTCAGCTGAGAGAACACACACGCTAACACACACACACACACTAACACAGACTAACACACACACACACTAACACAGACTAACACACACACAAACTAACACAGACTAACACACACACACACTAACACACACACACACTAACACACACACACACGCTAACACACACACACACACACACTAACACAAACACACACTAACACACACACACTAACACAAAACACAAACACACACTAACACAAACACACACACTAACACACACACTAACACAAACACACACTAACACACACACACTAACACAAACACACACACACTAACACACACACACACACACTAACACAAACACACACTAACACACACACTAACACAAACACACACACACTAACACACACACACACTAACACAAACACACACACACACACACTAACACACACACTAACACACACACACACACACACTAACACACACACACTAACACAAACACACACACACTAACACACACACACTAACACAAACACACACACACTAACACACACACTAACACAAACACACTAACACAAACACACACACACTAACACACACACACTAACACACACACTAACACACACACACTAACACAAACACACACACACTAACACACACACTAACACACACACACTAACACAAACACAAACACACACACACACACACACACACACAGTTGAGAGAGGAAACACTTTAATGCAGGTTCAGACTGGATGATGCTGCGTCGGCTTCAATGCAAAGTCAATGGTGACGCACAAGTGACTTGGAACACACTCACGGACTGTTCTGTAGAGACCAGTGTGGGCGGGTCCTGACTCAAAAGTGTCCAAAATGACGTGCGCTGACATGCATCGTAAGCGTGGGTCTGGAGAGCCCGAGTGCCCGGACGGGACTTCACCAGCGGGGTATACTCTTGACAGCTGGAACAAGTGGCAGCCCCTCTGTCTGTCGACCCTGTCCATTGAAGATTCGGAAGACGTATATATCTTTGGCATTTTGGTGGTGGGAATCCTCCTGTTTGGGTTTGGAGCGGTTCTCTTCTACCACAAATTCGGAGGCATGGCAGTTCGCAAGATTCACGACCTGCTGGCCGACAAAATTGATGGGATGTACAAGGAGCTTAGCCGCGTCGTGGTTGAGAGTGCCGTGTCTGGACAAAGGAGAGTGGTTTTGGTGGAACAGTTGGTTAAAGACCTCGCAGCTCGTTCACTCGATGGACATAAGACTCTGGAGTTGAGATTGAATGACATTGTGTGTCAGGCTTGAACTCTCTGACCCGGCTTGGATCTGCCCCTGTGTACGGGGTCTGAGGGCGCCGCAATTCGGTTTAATTGGATTTAATAGAATATCTGCCTGACATTGCATTGAATATTGTCCCCCTGAGGCGATGTGTTTTTCTCCTGCTGTGTCTTCTCTCCACTCTTATCTCACATTCCTCGGGCCAAGGCCATAATAACAAAGGTCCCATCTACAACAATCTCACACTTCAGTCTCCAGCTCGGATCCCGTCTCCCCCGCCTCCCTCTCTATCCATCTTGCTCCCTCCCTCCCCTACACTCCTCACTGTGTTTCCGACTCACCCCCTCCCTGACCCCGCCCCCCTCTGACAGCCACATTGGGCCGGCTGTAGGAGGTGCTCATCCCGAGAAAAAATCCGTGCTTTATACAAGGCACAATGTGTCTATCCACTGTTTGTGTAACCTGTATGTTTGCTCTCTGCTGTTTATTCTACTGTTTGTCGCATGGCGCCGTAAAGATGGCGCCGTGGCAAGAGCTCTGGTGTGTGTCGTCTCCTCTGTCTGGTGCACACCGGGGTAGTCTTGCACAGTTTTTCCAATGTGGTTTTACTGCAAATGGCAAATAAATGAATCTGAATCTGAATCTGAATGCTGCAGTACCACCCCGGGCCTGTGGGGGTGGACCCAGAAGAAGAATTAGCCAATGCTAACATATAGCATCTTCTCTGGAAAACGTCTTTACAGGATGGTCCAAAAGTTGTCTCTTGGCCCAAAGCTCCGTTCCACATGTGTGTCAATGCTGAGTGTTCTGGACCAGTCTAGTTTAGTCGCTGTGGACTTTAGAAGTCTCTTGTTTAAATGAATGGAGCTCTCGCAGCTGACGCATGCACAGATGTGTGTTTTCACATTTTTCTTGTGGGCGGGACCACTCGCGGCCATTTTGGATAACTCCAGTAGAGCACATTTTGTGGCCCATTAGTTAGAACGACGGAGATACTGACTCTGTCTGTTTATATTTACAGTCTGTGTTAGAGACGGACTGTGTGGCAGAGGAGCAGAAGCGGAAAATCGACGCACACAGGATTAAACCAGGACTAAACCAGGACTAAACCAGGACTAAACCAGGACTACACCAGGACTACACCAGGACTACACCAGGACTAAACCAGGACTAAACCAGGACTAAACCAGGACTAAACCAGGACTAAACCAGGACTAAACCAGGACTAAACCAGGACTAAACCAGGACTAAACCAGGACTAGAGCCCTGCACGGGCCTATTATCTGGGCCCGAGCCCGGCCCTGGCCCGAGGGGGTGGAGCCCCAGCCCGGCCCGGCCCGATATGGTTTCTGAATTTTCAGGCCCGAAACCCGCATCAAGCCAGACTTTTTTTTTTTTTTGTAACCTCCCATAACAATGTTTTAGCGTAGTATATAGTGCCGCGCACTGATATGAACGCAGACTTAGCTAGAGGGCGGAGTTATACATGGTAGTGATGTGTTGCAATGAGTTCTGTGTGTGCGGAGTGGTGCAGAGTGAACGGCCGCATCTGTATGATGCACAGCTGTATGATGCACAGCTGTATGATACACAGCTGTATGATACACAGCTGTATGATACACAGCTGTATGATACACAGATGTATGATACACAGCTGTATGATACACAGCTGTATGATACACAGCTGTATGATACACAGCTGTATGATACACAGCTGTATGATACACAGCTGTATGATACACAGCTGTATGATACACAGCTGTATGATACACAGCTGTATGATACACAGCTGTATGATACACAGCTGTATGATACACAGCTGTATGATACACAGATGCTGCAACACACCTGTAAGTAACGCTATGTGTCGTCAATGACAACACTACACAGAACAACAAACAGTACAGCTTGATAGAACGCTATATTCAGTGGGTGCGTTTGTAAATCTATTCTGCCGCTCTGAAAATGAAGAGCCCGAGCCCGTGTCCGAGGTCATTATGCGGTCATCGGCCCGAAGCCCGGCCCTCGGGCTGTCGGGGCCCTCGGGCCAAGGGCTCAAGTGCAGGGCTCTAACCAGGACTAAACCAGGACTACACCAGGACTACACCAGGACTAAACCAGGACTAAACCAGGACTACACCAGGACTACACCAGGACTAAACCAGGACTAAACCAGGACTACACCAGGACTAAACCAGGACTACACCAGGACTACACCAGGACTACACCAGGACTAAACCAGGGACTACACACCAGGACTACACCAGGACTACACCAGGACTAAACCAGGACTAAACCAGGACTACACCAGGACTAAACCAGGACTACACCAGGACTACACCAGGACTAAACCAGGACTGCACCAGGACTGCACCAGGACTGCACCAGGACTACACCAGGACTACACCAGGACTGCACCAGGACTACACCAGGACTACACCAGGACTAAACCAGGACTGCACCAGGACTGCACCAGGACTGCACCAGGACTACACCAGGACTACACCAGGACTGCACCAGGACTACACCAGGACTGCACCAGGACTACACCAGGACTGCACCAGGACTACACCAGGACTACACCAGGACTACACCAGGACTACACCAGGACTAAACCAGGACTAAACCAGGACTGCACCAGGACTGCACCAGGACTGCACCAGGACTGCACCAGGACTGCACCAGGACTACACCAGGACTACACCAGGACTAAACCAGGACTGCACCAGGACTGCACCAGGACTGCACCAGGACTACACCAGGACTGCACCAGGACTGCACCAGGACTACACCAGGACTACACCAGGACTACACCAGGACTACACCAGGACTAAACCAGGACTGCACCAGGACTGCACCAGGACTGCACCAGGACTACACCAGGACTACACCAGGACTACACCAGGACTAAACCAGGACTGCACCAGGACTGCACCAGGACTGCACCAGGACTGCACCAGGACTACACCAGGACTGCACCAGGACTGCACCAGGACTGCACCAGGACTAAACCAGGACTAAACCAGGACTAAACCAGGACTGACAATGGGGAACATGTGAGTTGTGATGCTCCCGTGACTTTATGCAACTGCTTCGAGCGTGTTCACTGATGCGGAAATACTGTTTAATAATAAAATAAACTTATTGCCATTTCCTACATGTACGTCTGGTCTTACCATGGGTAAACTCTGGTCCATGGTCATTTCCTACATGTACGTCTGGTCTTACCATGTGTAAACTCTGGTCCATGGTCATCTCCTACATGTACGTCTGTCTTACCATGTGTAAACTCTGGTCCATGATCATCTCCTACATGTACGTCTGGTCTTACCATGTGTAAACTCTGGACCATGGAGAATGCGATAGTAAAATAATCTGTTCTGGTTCAATCCAAAAATGAAGAAACTGAAGCCGGAGCAAGAAGAATGTTTAGTAAATGTCTTTGAAGCAAAGATGTTGTGGCTCTACTCCCCACGGGCTCCGTTAGTGACAAAGGAGATGGCTAAAGCTAGGCTATATGCTAAAGCTAGGCTATATGCTAATGCTAGGCTAAATGCCTCACTCACTCGGGCTCATTACATACGTCACAGTAAACTCAGATCCAATGGTTTCAATCTGCAAAAGGAGTTAGCCCCTCCCACCTGTTAAAGAGCCAATGGAGCCAATCCAGACCTTAGTATGAAATGAAATGAGTAGCATGGTGTGGTACGACCAGAACTGAGAAGGAAGGAGGTGATTGTGGCTGTAGTTCACATCAGGGTCTGGGTGAAGCAGCGTTGGAGCAGGATCAGGAGTAAACTGTCTCTGGTTTCACTGAATCACACCAAGGTTTTGTCTGAGTTCTGTTCACAACAGATTAAGAACAAAACACACTTTCAACGAATCATTCACTGATGGTAGATTTAGGAGATTTTGTCAATTGTTTTTGTATTCATTATAAATGAATGAAATGGTGAAATATAAATGCTATTATTTACAGTATCTGTTTGCAGACTCTAACTTCCTGTTGTTTGCAGATTCTAACTTCCTGTTTGCAGATTCTAACTTCCTGTTTGCAGATTCTAACTTCCTGTTGTTTGCAGATTCCTGATGATGTCGGAGGAGAGCGAGGAGAGTGTGGCCCAGAGTTCTTCTTCAGAACTTCCGAACGCTGCGAGGCCGTTCAGCTGCGACCTGTGCCCCGCCTCCTTCTCCCGCTCGCCACAGCTGCAGTTACACAGGCGCAGCCACAGCGGAGAGAAGCCGTACAAATGTCAGCGTCGCAAGAAGAAACTCACCGGCGTCAAAGCGCATAAGTGCGAGGTGTGCGAGAAGACGTTTGCGAGATCGTCTCAGCTGAAAGAGCACGTGTACAGCCACACGGGCTACAAGCCGTACCCCTGCGACTACTGCGAGAAGAAGTTTATACGGAAGTTTGATCTGAAGCGTCACCTGGAAACTCACTCCAACGAAGGATACAAGTTCAGCTGCGACGTCTGTGCCATGAAGTTCCCACGTCTGAAGTCTCTGAAGGTCCATCAGAGGAAGTGCGGCGGGTCTGAGCTGCACCACGAGACCTTTACCGAAGACGTCAAAGTCAAACGCCGCCAACGCGACCCCAACGACAAACAGCCGTATAAGTGTGAGCTGTGTGAGAAGAAGTTCGCCCGCGGGGTTCAGCTGCGAGAGCACGTCTTCAGCCACATGGGCTACAAACCCTTCCAATGTGACCAGTGCGAGAAAAGGTTCACCAGAATGTTTGATCTGACGCGACACATGGAGAGCCACAAAGGACAAGACCAGGGACACTCTTACGGCTGTGACACTTGTGGCTTGACCTTCTCATGTGAAAATACCTTCAGCAAACACCGTAGAACCCATAAGAAGTTCCGCAAGACGACAGAAGGTCTGGTCACTTGTAAGCTCTGCAAGAAGAGCTTTGTACGCTACGCTAACCTTAGGATTCATATGCGCATTCACACCGGAGAGCGGCCTTTCAAGTGCGACAAGTGCGAGAAGGCCTTCAAACAATCTATCCATCTGAAAAAACACAAGTGCAGCCACAAGGAAGAGGAGAATGGAGGGAGCCCCCAGGACAGGGAGAACAATGTGGAACAGATGGCGGAACCTGAGAATCTTTTCCCTGGCAAACGTAAACAATTCAGCTGTCGTTACTGTGGTAAAAAATGCACAAGACTCGCGACTCTGAAACTGCACGAGTGGATTCACACCGGACACAAAGCGTTCAGCTGCGAAGTCTGTGGGCGAAGGTTCAAACACAAAAACTCTCTGCAAAGACACAAACTGGTTCATAACAGAACGCAGCTTCACAAATGTGATCAGTGTGGGAAAGGATTCTCAGACTCAGACAAACTTAAAGAACACCAGTGCCTGAAAGACGACGGAGAGAGAGCTGTAAACACGTCCAAGGTTTATAGTTGTCAATACTGCGAGAGGTCGTTCAAGAGGCCGTACATCCTCAAAATGCACATTCGCACACACACGGGTGAGCGGCCGCACCGCTGCGACCAATGTGGGCGGACCTTCGCTCTGTCGTCCACTCTGCTCCGGCACAAGCGCGTCCACACGGGAGACCGGCCTTTCAGATGCGACCGCTGTAGTAAAGGCTTCGTACAGTTGGGGCATTTGGCCAAACATCTGCGGGACTTCCACAAAGACAGAAGACCGTTCATTTGTCAGATGTGTAAAGAAAGGTTCACAGATCAGTCTGCGCTGGAGCTACACACCTGCTGCTCTGGCTTCAGCTGCAGCACCTGCAGGAAATCCTTCTCAGATCAGTCTGCGCTGGAGCAACATCAATGCTCTCACAAAAAACACAAAGTACTCAGCTGCGACATATGTAAAAAGACATTTCTCAGACAGTTTTATTTACAAATCCACAAATGCAGGCCCAAAGAAAAGCCATTTAAATGCAGCCATTGTAACAAGACCTTTGAGAAAGTGTCTGATCTGAACATTCACACCAGTGTCCACACAGAGCAGAAGTACAGCTGTGAGCCCTGTGGGGTGGACTTCCATCTTTGCAGCGCGTACGTCAGACACCAGCGCCGCCACAGGGAAGGGTTCAAATGTCTCCAGTGTGAGATGGAGTTTACACGACCAGCTGATTTCACAAAGCACCTGGACACTCACTACAAGGAGGCAGTGTACCGATGCGACACCTGCAGCATGGCCTTTATATCACATCATAATCTCGTTAGTCACAAGTGCTTAGAGCTGAGTGGCCGGTCCTCACAGCAGCTAAAGACTCACACAGCACATCACCCGTCTCATAACTGTGACTATTGCGGGAAGACGTTTTTACAGCTGTCCCGGCTAAAAGAGCACACCCTGACTCACACCGGGTACAAACCATTCCAATGTGAACAGTGTGGGAAGAATTTCACCAGAGCTTTTGATGTGAAGCGCCACATGGCCCTCCACTTGGAGCAAGGATACAAACACAGCTGTGATATCTGTGGTATAAAATTCCCAAATTTGAAATTTCTAAAGCTGCACGTGAGAAAACACGAAGAGAAGCTGTTTGGTTGTGGCTACTGCAAAGAAACGTTTGACTTTTTCACCGACCTTCGGGAACACGTGAGCTCTCACCCGGGGCCGAGGCTGGGCAAGTGTGAGCGGTGTGGAAGCAGATTCTCCCGCCTCAGTAACCTCAAACGCCACATGCAGAGTCACCTGGGACAGCCGGCGTTTCCATGTGACCAGTGTGGGAAAGTGTTTAATGACTCGTCCACCTTACGGACTCACTACCTGGTGCACTCTGGGTCTTACGCATGTGATCAGTGCGAGAGGAGTTTCACCACTGAAGAGAAGCTACAGGAACATAGAGTCACTCATGTGGAGCCGCTGGAGCCTGTGGAGCCTTCACCGGCTCAGGCTCTGGAGGATGTTTACGCCGTAGAAGTGGACGATTTTCAAGTCGAGGAATACTCCATCTCCTGTGAAGTTTGTTCAGAGACTTTCAATACCAAAGACCAATATTACGAACACCTGCAGAACCATGAGATTGAGCTTGTTGTTGTTTAACGCAGAGAAATGTTTGATTTGATTTTAAAAAGTGACATTTTAGTTGTTTGCATTTGACTCAAAGCTAACTGAGGTCTAATGATTGATGAATTATTGATTTCCAGATTTATTTGTGTGAAGCACTAACCGTGAGAATGCCACGATCTAAAGCGGGGCCTCAGACTTGTGGCAGGTCTCGGTGGCCCCCTAGTGGACATCAGTGTGTACTGTCAGTGTAGGCCTCACTGAGTCTGGGTGGGTTTAAGCAGTTTTTTATTGATTGACTGCGGAACCTTCCGCAGTCAACCATTGGTTTTGTATTTCTTTATTCCGTCATTTTTTTTGACACGTTTCACAGCTTTCACATTTTCAACAATTTCCACAAGTTATACATCAAAACGTTCCACATGTTTGGGAGATTATTGCTATTACTTTTGGGACTTCAGCGATTTCCGGTTTTTCCGCAATCGGACAAAAATCTGCATTGAGAATTCTGCAATGCATTTTAATAGGCCCATGCATTTTAATAGGACTTCAGCTCTTTCAGACATTTCTACAGTTTCAATGATTCAACAGTTTCAAGGATTCAACAGTTTCAAGGATTTCAGCAGTTTCAAGATTTCAAGAGTTTCAAGGACTTCAGCAGTTTCAAGGACTTCAGCAGTTTCAAGGACTTCAGCAGTTTCAAGGACTTCAGTGTAATCATGCAACCTAATAGGGATTTTTCCATGTAAACCAGTATAATGCAACTTAATAGGGATTTTTCCATGTAAACCAGTATAATGCAACTTAATAGGGTTTTTTCATGTAAACCAGTATAATGCAACTTAATAGGGTTTTTTTCATGTAAACCAGTATAATGCAACTTAATAGGGTTTTTTCATGTATAATGCAACCTAATAGGTTGCATTATACCACCAGACCAAGACCCAAACGAAGACTCAGACCACCACCAGATAATGACCACAGACCAGGTTTCCTTAGTTACAGGAACCAAATTGTTTCAGCGGTGAGGGGATTTTTCAGTTTCAAGGACACTTTCAATACATTCAGTAGTTTCAAGGATTTCAGCTGTTTAAGAATTTAACCAGTTTCAAGGATATCAGGAGGTTCAAGGATTTCAGGAGTTTCCACACTTTCAACAGTTTCCAGGTTTAAAAAAGTTTCAAGGATTTCAGGAGTTTCAATGTTTCAACAGTTTCAAGGATTTCAGGAGTTTAAAGGTTTCAACAATTTCAAGGACTTCAGGAGTTTCAAATATCTATCAAGTATTTTAACAGTTTCAAGGCTTTTTAAAGGATTTCAAGGATTTTTTTTAGCAGATTTCCACATTAGATCTGTTCCGCAGTCAATCGCAATGGCTTCAGCCATTGCAAGTTTCTAGTTTATTTTAAAGTTTGATTTGGAAAACGATCTGAAGATTTGATGGTTTTGTGCAGAAATGTGAGACAGATTCTTTAGGCCTCTTTTTAGCTAATTTTAGTAAAACATCCAGGACATTTATATCACAACAAACACTGAACCTTGAACGCTATAAGTAATAATATCAATTTTATTATTATTATTATTAACGGCCAATCAGACGGAGGCTCCTTTTCCTTTGGCCCAGTTTTGTTTCCATCGCAGCAGCTCGACTCGTTAATTATATAAAACTCATTCCACAAAAATCATGATTTGGTCAAAATACCTTCATCATAAAAAATGGATCCATTGGTTTCTGTTTTCTACTTCCTCTGTTAAAGAATGAGAAGTGGAGCGTGTGCAGTTTCAGTGGTTCACATCTGTCTCCAATATTCATTTATTACACCTGATAAATAACATTATAACAAATAACATAACAAATAATTTATTTTTTTAATGCACCTTTTCCACAAAACCTCAAAGTGCTACAGATTCAAAAAAATGCATCAAAGTTCATCAAATATCGTAAAAATAAATATTAATTAACTGTAATGGGCTCAGGTTCACCCAGACTCAGTTTGAGACCCCTGATCCAGACTGATCTGAGCTTTGACGAGGCCTCTATATTTGACTCTGTTTAAAAGAGTGAACATGAGATTAAAGTGTCTGTAAAAACTGAATGAGATCCTGCTATAAACACGTTTGCTTCTCTAGGTCTTTGCTTTTCTGTGTCTGTCTGTGTGTGTGTGTTTGTGTGTGTGTCTGTGCGTGTGGGAGAAGCGGGTCTACTCTGAGCTCCTCCCTCGATCTCTTAAGGTGCCTGGGACATCTGGGGGAACGCGTGTGGGGAGGACCGGACCACTCTACAGACTCGCCCCCCCTCAGACTCACGGGTCAGTTTCAGGGTCAGTTTTATTGGTTATATTTCTAGTTTATGGTTTTTTTGGAGATTGAGTGAAGTGTTTGTTCAGAAACATTTAACACAAAGAGTAACTGTCACATGTGTCCAGGAGAGGGCGCTACACACCTTTGGCTTTATGATGGAGAAGTGAACATATCACTGTCCTGCAGGTGGCAGCATAGTTCAATAAGCTTTTCATGGAGAAGTAGTTTGTAATTATTCAGGGTGAAGGTTTGATTACTGCGGTGTTAAAGTTTGTGAGACTCTTTCTGTCATGTGTGTAATATTCAAGGCTCTGTTAAAGGGAGTGTGTTTGAAGAGCCGCCTGCACAAACCGACACTTTAGAGTATTTCTTATATAAACCAAAGCATTATTATTATTATCATAAATGAGATTGTTTCATATCATCGTTTGTCCATCTCTCCCGAGCCCTGCTCACACTTCTGTAATCCTGGATCTAATACAGACACTTTTCTAACAAATGTTTTGAGATTTTATCAGTTATTAATGTAACTTAAAAATCCCCAAAAAATCAATCGTTTTAGTCCCACAGTTTTGTTACTGTTATTATTATTATACAAAGTATCCAGAAAGTATCCAGAATACAGAGCCTTGATTCCTTTGAATGTATTTCCACAGTACTCTCTGCAGCATCAGTAACTTCAGCTACAGTTAAAGTACAGTTGTATTGAAACATTACTCCTGGAGCAGAGTCAGAGAAGAAGACCTCAGAGTATTTTATTGTATATTAGAGTTTAATACTCACAAACTGCACCTGCTGCTACAGCTGTTAGAATCAAACCTCAGAAGAAGTATTGGATCAGAACCAGATACTGTACTGTCTAGTCTCTTCTACTGTCCTATACTACTATACTCTCTGCATCACACTATACTACTATACTCTGCATCACACTATACTACTATACTATATGACATCACACTATACTACTATACTCTGACATCACACTATACTACTATACTCTGCATCACACTATACTACTATACTATATGACATCACACTATACTACTATACTCTGACATCACACTATACTACTATACTCTGCATCACACTATACTACTATACTATATGACATCACACTATACTACTATACTCTGCATCACACTATACCACTATACTCTGCATCACACTATACTGCTATACTATATGACATCACACTATACTACTATACTCTGACATCACACTATACTACTATACTCTGCATCACACTATACTACTATACTATATGACATCACACTATACTACTATACTCTGCATCACACTATACTACTACACTCTGACATCACACTATACTACTATACTCTGCATCACACTATACTACTACACTCTGACATCACACTATACTACTATACTCTGCATCACACTATACTACTATACTCTGCATCACACTATACTACTATACTCTCTGCATCACACTATACTACTATACTCTGACATCATACTATACTACTATACTCTGCATCACACTATACTACTATACTCTGACATCAAACTATACTCTGCATCACACTATACTACTATACTCTGCATCACACTATACTACTATACTCTGACATCATACTATACTCTGCATCACACTATACTACTATACTCTGCATCACACTATACTACTATACTCTGACATCACACTATACTACTATACTCTGCATCACACTATACTACTATACTCTGCATCACACTATACTACTATACTCTGACATCACACTATACTACTATACTCTGACATCAGACTATATTGCTTCTTTATTAAGCTGAAGATTATATATATAATATATATATTTGTTATTATGTGTATATTGTATAGTAATACTGAACATCCTTATGTTGTGCTGTGTCCTCACCCTCCTGCTCTGTGACCTGTGATGCAACACTGACATTTCCCTGTGACACGAATAAAGGATCTCTTCATCTTTAAACGTAAAGAGCAGCAATGATAGAGTCTGAGTTCTGAGGAGTTAAAGTTAGAGGTAATCAGAAATATCAGTATTTAAGTTAAAATACACTTGTGTTGTGTTTTGAGGCTGATTGTTGCCGTAAACCTGGCGCCCTCAGCAGGAGGAGCTTCACTGGATTCTATCGCTGATATTTCGGGGTGTTTTGTCCCAGATTCTGCTCCAAACAGTGGGATTCCTCTGCAGCCTGCTCCGGGCTCTTCCTCTGCTCCAGGTCCGTGTTGCATGTGTCGCTTCTGCAGTGAATCACAGACAGATGATGCTAATGAGCTGCAGGCTAGCTTAGCACGTTAGCTTAGCACGTTAGCTTAGCACGTTAGCTTAGCACGTTAGCTTAGCACGTTAGCTTAGCACGTTAGCTTAGCATGCTCTTTTTTAGCCTCCAGTTAATGTTGACGTGACACATAAGAGGTCAGCTGTTCCTCGGGTTTGTGTGGATAATTATGTAGTAAAACGCTAGGACCGCTGATCGCTGGGTTAAACTGCCGGAGGTCACGTGGTCACAACACAGCGCCATCGCCTTTATGTAACACATTTTAATCTTTCTATAGGTGGACACAGGAGAGGGCTGTCAGTCTGTCCACACCACAACACACGTTTATTAGCATTAAAGCTAAGTTCCAGCAAATGTCAAGGATTTTTACTTTTACTCCTCCCTTGTTTCAGTCAGTAATCTGTGTTTATGTCCCGCCTTTCAGAGTCACAAAGCACTTTACCGTTGTGGACATTTGTCTCTCACTCACACAGAGATGGGACCAGCGACTGGACCATTGTGCTGCTCACGTGTCTCAGCACACACGGGACCATAGAGGACCATAGGGGACCATAGAGGACCATAGGGGACCTTAGAGGACCATAGGGGACCATAGAGGACCTTAGAGGACCATAGGAGACCATAGAAGACCATAGGGGACCATAGAAGACCAGACCCAGGGGACCAGACCCAGGGGACCAGACCCAGGGGACCAGACCCAGGGGACCCCACAGGAGACACAGCAGAGCCCATGTTACTGTTGAAGTCCTCACACTGGCTCCTGTCACAGAGAACTCTGGTAAATCTGGTGCTGACGTCAGGACTCTTCATGGTCAGAGCCTCAACACCAGGAGCGGAGGAACTGCAGTTTAGGAATGGCTAAGGCCAGGCTAAAACTGGATCGTGGCGTGCAATATTTGGGCCACAATATTATTAAATGTCACATGTTTTATGGCCTGCACATTAACTGAAGGAGAAACACTTATTTCATTAAACATCACAACACTTTGCTGTATCGATTTTATTACATGCTCAAAATCTGCCGATACTAAACTGAATCAGTGACCATAAGTGTTATGGTTTAGATCTGTACAAAAACAAAAAATTTTTTCTCCTCAGACACGACACGAGACGACAGACCGTGACCGTGCTTCCTGTGGCGCCGTCATGTTCACGTGTGCCGAGTGCGGGAAGTCGTTCAGCTGCGGCGCCACGCTGAGGGAGCACCAGTACCTGCACAGCGGCGACAGCCCCTTCACCTGCTCCGAGTGCGGCAAGGTGTTCACCCGCGCCGGCAACCTGAAGGTGCACCTGCGCGTGCACACGGGGGAGCGGCCCTTCAGCTGCGACCAGTGCGGCTCCACCTTCTCCAACTCCAGCTCCCTGAAGACGCACCAGCGCATCCACACCAACGAGCGCCCGTACGGCTGCCCGCTGTGCCGCCGCGCCTTCACCTACTCCAGCGGCCTGAGCCTGCACCTGCGCGCGCACCACCACCAGGCCGAGCGCCCGTACGTCTGCGACTTCTGCTCCAAGGGCTTCGTGCGCTCCACAGACCTGCGCGTGCACGTGCGCCTCCACACGGGCGACAAGCCGTACAGCTGCGCTCAGTGCGGACAGGACTTTGTGAGGGTCGGTGTCTTTAGGCGCCACGAGCAGACGCACCAGGAGCACAAGGCCTTCACCTGCGACCAGTGCCAGCAGGTAACACACTGTATGAGGGAGGAGGAGGAGGGAGGAGGGAGGAGGGAGGGGGGAGGGGGGAGGGGGGGGGGGAGGTGGAGGAGGGGGTGGAGGATGGAGAAAGGGAGGTGTCGTCTGTCTGATGGTGCTTTCAGACCGGATCCTGCGTTGCGTCGGGTTTCAATGCAAAGTCGATGGTGACGAGCGTTCGACTATCACAACGCACGGACCTCTCGGTTCGCACGAACGGACTGTTCAGTAGAGACGCACGGACTGTTCTGTAGAGACGCACGGACTGCTCTGTAGAGACGCACGGACTGTTCAGTAGAGACGCACGGACTGTTCAGTAGAGACGCACGGACTGTTCAGTAGAGACGCACGGACTGTTCTGTAGAGACGCACGGACTGCTCAGTAGAGACGCACGGACTGTTCAGTAGAGACGCACGGACTGTTCTGTAGAGACGCACGGACTGTTCAGTAGAGACGCACGGACTGTTCTGTAGAGACGCACAGACTGTTCAGTAGAGACGCACGGACTGTTCAGTAGAGACGCACGGACTGTTCAGTAGAGACGCACAGACTGTTCAGTAGAGACGCACGGACTGTTCAGTAGAGACGCACGGACTGTTCAGTAGAGACGCACGGACTGTTCTGTAGAGACGCACGGACTGTTCAGTAGAGACGCACGGACTGTTCTGTAGAGACGCACGGACTGTTCTGTAGAGACGCACAGACTGCTCTGTAGAGACGCACGGACTGCTCTGTAGAGACGCACGGACTGTTCTGTAGAGACGCACGGACTGTTCAGTAGAGACGCACGGACTGTTCTGTAGAGACGCACGGACTGTTCAGTAGAGACGCACGGACTGTTCAGTAGAGACGCACGGACTGTTCAGTAGAGACGCACGGACTGCTCTGTAGAGACGCACGGACTGCTCAGTAGAGACGCACGGACTGTTCAGTAGAGACGCACGGACTGTTCTGTAGAGACGCACGGACTGTTCAGTAGAGACGCACGGACTGTTCAGTAGAGACGCACGGACTGTTCAGTAGAGACGCACGGACTGTTCAGTAGAGACGCACGGACTGTTCAGTAGAGACGCACGGACTGCTCTGTAGAGACGCACGGACTGTTCTGTAGAGACGCACGGACTGTTCAGTGGAGACGCACGGACTGCTCTGTAGAGACGCACGGACTGTTCTGTAGAGACGCACGGACTGTTCAGTAGAGACGCACGGACTGTTCAGTAGAGACGCACGGACTGTTCAGTAGAGACGCACGGACTGTTCAGTAGAGACGCACGGACTGTTCAGTAGAGACGCACGGACTGTTCAGTAGAGACACACGGACTGTTCTGTAGAGACGCACGGACTGTTCAGTAGAGACGCACGGACTGTTCAGTAGAGACGCACGGACTGTTCAGTAGAGACGCACGGACTGCTCTGTAGAGACGCACAGACTGTTCTGTAGAGACGCACGGACTGCTCTGTAGAGACGCACGGACTGCTCTGTAGAGACGCACGGACTGCTCTGTAGAGACGCACGGACTGCTCTGTAGAGACGCACGGACTGTTCTGTAGAGACGCACGGACTGTTCAGTAGAGACGCACGGACTGCTCTGTAGAGACGCACGGACTGTTCTGTAGAGACGCACGGACTGTTCTGTAGAGACGCACGGACTGTTCTGTAGAGACGCACGGACTGTTCTGTAGAGACGCACGGACTGTTCTGTAGAGACGCACGGACTGTTCTGTAGAGACGCACGGACTGCTCTGTAGAGACGCACGGACTGTTCTGTAGAGACGCACGGACTGTTCAGTAGAGACGCACGGACTGTTCAGTAGAGACGCACGGACTGTTCTGTAGAGACGCACGGACTGTTCTGTAGAGACGCACGGACTGCTCTGTAGAGACGCACGGACTGTTCTGTAGAGACGCACGGACTGTTCTGTAGAGACGCACGGACTGCTCTGTAGAGACGCACGGACTGTTCAGTAGAGACGCACGGACTGTTCTGTAGAGACGCACGGACTGCTCTGTAGAGACGCACGGACTGTTCAGTAGACACGCACGGACTGCTCTGTAGAGACGCACGGACTGTTCTGTAGAGACGCACGGACTGTTCTGTAGAGACGCACGGACTGTTCAGTAGAGACGCACGGACTGCTCAGTAGAGACGCACGGACTGTTCAGTAGAGACGCACGGACTGCTCTGTAGAGACGCACGGACTGTTCTGTAGAGACGCACGGACTGTTCAGTAGAGACGCACGGACTGTTCTGTAGAGACGCACGGACTGCTCTGTAGAGACGCACGGACTGTTCAGTAGAGACGCACGGACTGTTCTGTAGAGACGCACGGACTGTTCTGTAGAGACGCACGGACTGTTCTGTAGAGACGCACGGACTGCTCTGTAGAGACGCACGGACTGTTCTGTAGAGACGCACGGACTGTTCTGTAGAGACGCACGGACTGCTCTGTAGAGACGCACGGACTGTTCAGTAGAGACGCACGGACTGTTCTGTAGAGACGCACGGACTGCTCTGTAGAGACGCACGGACTGTTCAGTAGACACGCACGGACTGCTCTGTAGAGACGCACGGACTGTTCTGTAGAGACGCACGGACTGTTCTGTAGAGACGCACGGACTGTTCAGTAGAGACGCACGGACTGCTCAGTAGAGACGCACGGACTGTTCAGTAGAGACGCACGGACTGCTCTGTAGAGACGCACGGACTGTTCTGTAGAGACGCACGGACTGTTCAGTAGAGACGCACGGACTGTTCAGTAGAGACGCACGGACTGCTCAGTAGAGACGCACAGACTGCTCTGTAGAGACGCACGGACTGTTCTGTAGAGACGCAGGGACTGTTCAGTAGAGACGCACAGACTGTTCTGTAGAGACGCACGGACTGTTCTGTAGAGACGCACGGACTGTTCTGTAGAGACGCACGGACTGTTCTGTAGAGACGCACGGACTGTTCAGTAGAGACGCACGGACTGTTCTGTAGAGACGCACGGACTGTTCTGTAGAGACGCACGGACTGCTCTGTAGAGACGCACGGACTGTTCTGTAGAGACGCACGGACTGTTCTGTAGAGACGCACGGACTGTTCAGTAGAGACGCACGGACTGTTCTGTAGAGACGCACGGACTTGGCGGGAAAGTGAAAAGGGAGGAGCAGGAGCGAAAAACGCCCACAGGAGATGGATTCTGCTCATCCTTTCCTCGGGACATTTGTGCGACAACCAATCAGAGAGCAGCAAAGTGGTCACGGGGACATTAGCGGACTGAGCGAGCAGACTGAACATACTGTAAACATCCAAAACAGGACCCACACCAGACTTCACCAGAACTCAAACCAGGGCTGACAATGGGGGACTCTGTGCTTGTGAAAATATGTGTTGTCATGCTCCCGTGACTTTATGCAACTGCTTCAAGTGTGTTCATACTACTGTTATATAAAGTCACCGTGAACACATACTGCTGTTATATAAAGTCACCTCTGTGAACACATACTGCTGTTATATAAAGTCACCTCCGTGAACACATACTACTGTTATATAAAGTCACCTCCATGAACACATACTGCTGTTATATAAAGTCACCTCCGTGAACACATACTGCTGTTATATAAAGTCACCTCCGTGAACACATACTACTGTTATATAAAGTCACCTCCGTGAACACATACTGCTGTTATATAAAGTCACCTCCGTGAACACATACTGCTGTTATATAAAGTCACCTCCGTGAACACATACTGCTGTTATATAAAGTCACCTCCGTGAACACATACTACTGTTATATAAAGTCACCTCCGTGAACACATACTACTGTTATATAAAGTCACCTCCGTGAACACATACTACTGTTATATAAAGTCACCTCCGTGAACACATACTACTGTTATATAAAGTCACCTCCGTGAACACATACTACTGTTATATAAAGTCACCTCCGTGAACACATACTGCTGTTATATAAAGTCACCTCCGTGAACACATACTGCTGTTATATAAAGTCACCTCCGTGAACACATACTGCTGTTATATAAAGTCACCTCCGTGAACACATACTGCTGTTATATAAAGTCACCTCCGTGAACACATACTGCTGTTATATAAAAGTCACCTCCGTGAACACATACTGCTGTTATATAAAGTCACCTCTGTGAACACATACTGCTGTTATATAAAGTCACCTCCGTGAACACATACTGCTGTTATATAAAGTCACCGTGAACACATACTGCTGTTATATAAAGTCACCTCCGTGAACACATACTGCTGTTATATAAAGTCACTGTGAACACATACTGCTGTTATATAAAGTCACCTCCGTGAACACATACTACTGTTATATAAAGTCACCGTGAACACATACTGCTGTTATATAAAGTCACCTCCGTGAACACATACTGCTGTTATATAAAGTCACCTCCGTGAACACATACTGCTGTTATATAAAGTCACCTCCGTGAACACATACTACTGTTATATAAAGTCACCTCCGTGAACACATACTGCTGTTATATAAAGTCACTGTGAACACATACTGCTGTTATATAAAGCCACCTCCGTGAACACATACTGCTGTTATATAAAGTCACCGTGAACACATACTGCTGTTATATAAAGTCACCTCCGTGAACACATACTGCTGTTATATAAAGTCACTGTGAACACATACTGCTGTTATATAAAGTCACCTCCGTGAACACATACTACTGTTATATAAAGTCACCGTGAACACATACTGCTGTTATATAAAGTCACCTCCGTGAACAACATACTGCTGTTATATAAAGTCACCTCCGTGAACACATACTGCTGTTATATAAAGTCACCTCCGTGAACACATACTACTGTTATATAAAGTCACCTCCGTGAACACATACTGCTGTTATATAAAGTCACTGTGAACACATACTGCTGTTATATAAAGCCACCTCCGTGAACACATACTGCTGTTATATAAAGTCACCTCCGTGAACACATACTGCTGTTATATAAAGTCA